CAATGTTTCCCAAATGGTGGCTCGGCAGATACTGTTGTAGTGCTGTTGCTTCACAGCAACACAGAGCTGGTTTGATTCCTGGACTTTCCAGATGAAAAACCCGCTGGTCAAGTGGAATAGAGACTCAAAATTGCTGGAGGGTATGAAGTGTCTGTCCATCCGTGTTAGCCGTGCAGTGGACCACCGCCCTTTCCGTGGTATTTCCCTTTTTGTCATCAATGTATGCTGGGAGAGAAAGGACTTAAAGAGTATAGAACGAGTGTTTTCCACAGCTCAAATCAGATGGAGAAACACTTTTAAATGGGGAAACACACAGGGAACGCTGCGTGTGGCTCTTCTCAGTGTCTTTCCTGGCTCACTTTTGTTTCCTCTGAGAAGCCCTTCGACTGCAGATCGTCATCCTCCACCCGCACTGTGACTGCAGCATCATGTGTGCCATGCTGCTCTGTATGCTGTGGCCACCTCAGTCATGGAAACTATTACTAATCCCTGATTATCCTCTGAATTTTCTTTCTGGGCTCAACCACTCACTTCAGACATGCTCACTATTTATCTCTGTGGCAAACCATAGGAGTGATCATGATAAATATGGCTTAATGCATGTGAGCTGATTAAAACGACCCAGCACGGTTGAGCTTCAAAGTTGTGGCACAGAATCAGAGGTTATTAGAGAGAGAGGTTTTATGTTGTCCTCAGGCAGTTATTTAAAAAAGTTTCCGAGCAAATGCCAGACACTGTAAATGTTAGTTGATGTAAGTAATAAGCCAAATGTGTTACTTTGTTTTGCAGACGAGAAAGTGAGCAGAGCCCTGAAGCTGTTAGGTCCAACTGTAAATTTCATTAACTATACTTTACCACACTCACATGTTTTAAGACATTGGCAGAATTGGATGCTGCTTGGGTGGGGATGACTTTTTCTAGTTAATTTGCGTACTCATTATTTGTATCTACAATTGTCTAATTTGTGCTGACCAACTGCATATTTGTTTTAAGCATTTGATTCATTTAGCTTATTAAATACTTCAAACTGATATTACCCTCTTCCTTTCTCAGCTATAAAAAGTCCTTAGATGGTCATGTGAAGAAAAAAGTTAACATGCAATGCAAGAATCAGTTTTAAGGCCTTCCTCCCTTTTTTCTGAGGCCGTTGGCCATATCATTGGAGCAGTTATTAACTTTTGAATCACCGAATAGAAAAGAGGCTTTTAACTGATTTCAGAGCATCTTTGATGTCTTTTTCCCACATGACTGCCTGCAGGCAAATTTGTTATCAAGAAGATGTTACAAAGTTGGTAACAAAGCATGTCTGTACTGACTCTACTGTATGCATCTACTTCATAAATGCGCACGTTGCGTGTGAGGAGGACGTGTTTTATACACCATTAACACAGAAAAAGCATGTGGAATGCATAAACTGATATGATGTCAAAACAGTGGTTCCAAACCCATAAGGGGTTGCAGGATTAACCTAAGGGGCTGCATAATAATTACCTGGGCAGAAAATAAGAAAATTTTAATTCTGCTTTGCAAAATTCAGTTTATATTACAGACTTCTTTTTTTTTCAGATCTTTGCTGTTTCCCTGTCAAAACACTGGATAATTTTACCACATGAAGCCACTAAAATTATTTACATAAAACAGAAGGAAAAATCCCTTTTCAACTGAACTGCACACACCTCATAGAACTGCACCCTGTAGCCAGGGGTCTAATGCAGGCATTGCTTTGTATTATGGGTTCACAAGCAAGAAAGGTTGGAGAGCACTTCGGTAGGCCGCCACTGGTTTAGAGAGTCCAGGAGAAACTGAAAGATAGATGGAAAATACTTTTAAAGCCACAATTGCACTTGAGATAATGTTAAATAGCCTTGTTGTTATTTCACTGCACAAGATGATTATAGCGGTCTTGTTTTGCTTGCACCACTAGTTTCATTACTTTAAAAATGCAATTACATAATTTGATGTCAACAAATGATTTTACCTGATCCCACAAATTAGTATAATGAGCTGTTAAATTTAGTCTACTTAGAAAGTTTCGGGACATGGTTAGCTCAGTTGGTAGAGTGTACACTGCAGCGGCTCGGGTTCGAGTTCGGCCTACAGCCCTTTGCTGCGTGTTGCCCCCTATTTCTCTCCTTCAGTTCCTTGCTATCCACTGTTCTATCAATAAAGGCTAAAAAAGTCCCAAAATAGATTTTTTCAAACTGACTTCAGCTGCTTACAAAACTGTTTAATTTCCTTGATCATACTGTGGCAATTTCTTTTAATTACAAATGTGCTGTCTTGGGTGCAATCCATATAATGTATCCTGTTCTCCTGGCACAGGCCTAATCCAGCCAAACATATTTATTATGTAATATTGATCAGCTCACTGCCAAATGTAATCAATGTCACATTTCCAAATATGACCACAGTCCTGTTGTCCTAGCCCGATCCTCCACAGTCATGTTGATCATGTATAGCAATCAGAAGAGAAATAAAGTTGCTTCTTGTGGGAAAACTAAATAACCACTCAGATTTTCTGCCCTGGGGTTTCCCTTCATGAGCACCTCCTGTTGGTTAGAGACCAGTTTATAGAGACAGAAGATTACTCAGCACTGGAAAGTCTACTCTCACCAGCAGGTTGGCCACTCCCAGGCTCCAAACACCAGCTCAGTATTTGCCTGTGTGATCCACCAGAGTGTGCTGAGACTCAGGGTCAACATGAGGAATGAGGAAGGACCACTGCTGCTCAATCTCATATAGCATAGGATGACGTGTGATGACATCTTTAGCACTGCCTGTGACATTTATATTGCATCACTGCACTGTTTGATGCTTTTTGTTTATCCTGTACATGAGAGGGATGATATAAGCAGTAGTGGAAGAAGATGCCGGGGTCTAAGTGAATATCCTGCAGGGGCTGGAGCCAATCCCAGTTGACATTGGGCGAAAGGCGGGGTACACCCTGGACAGGCCGCCAATCCATCGCAGGGCCACACATAGACAAACAACCAGACACTCACACCTAAGGACAATTTAGGGTCACCAATCAACCTAGTCCGCCTGTCTTTGGACGGTGGGAGGAAGCCGGAGCACCCGGAGAGAACCCACGCAAAGTCCACATAGAAAGGGCAACCGGGGTTTGAACGACCTTGTTGCTGTGAGGCCACAGTGCTATCCACCGGACCACTGCCCTAAGTGAAAGTCCTGCATTTAAAAATAAACGGAACTAGTAACTAAATTAACACATCAAGTATCAAAGTAAAAGTATGTGTTATTATTATATAATTTATCATATTGGATTGTTACTGCTAATGCTTTAACATGTAAGGAGCATGTTAAATGGGTAGTTGTTGATTTTTGAAGCTGGGTTGCATGAGGTACTTATACACAGTCAGTGTATTTCCTGCAGTAGATGGTGGTCAGCGTGTCCCCAGTTTGGAGAAGCAGAGAGTTGAACCGGCATGGAAGCTAAGCAATGTGCTGCTGTGGAGACGGTCAGCAGCAAAACATGTTTTAGACACCTAAAAGAAGGCCCACTGAAAATAATCAATATCATTTCAAGTGTACAGCCCTTTTCCTTACCATCAGACATCTATTTCCTTTATACAGTGCACAGCTATGATGCTTGAAGTGATACTGATTATTTTCGGTGGGCCCTCTTTTAGGTGGCTACTGACCCTGTCTGCAGCCGTACATTGCTTAGCTTCTGTGCCGGTACAAATCTCTATTTCTCCAAATTGGGGACACACTGACTGCCATCTACTGCAGGTAATATGTATTGTGTGTATATTAGAACTATAGCGGTCAGATAAATATAGCGGAATATAAAGTTCAATATTTCCTTTGAAATGTACTGGAGTATAAGTATAGTTTGAAAGTACGAGAACCTTAAAATCTTATTTAAGCACATTACTTTCCATTCCTGGATGCTGAAAATCTCACATAAAGAACAAAAACACCAATTTAAACTTTTATTGACTGAATTTAGTTGTCCAATCAAGTGACTGCAAATAAGGATTCAAGCTCACTTAAAAATAATATTATGAATAGGAAGTAGCTTTTTTGCATTCTCATAGGTGACTTTAAAACTGATTAAAATAGTACAGTACAGTGTTCAGTACACTATCAGGCTTTTTGGAGCCTTCAAGAGAGCCTGCACACACTGAGGCTGTTGTTAGTTGATGCAGAGCAGGCGGCCACTGAGCACAAACATGATAAAACTTGTTAGAGTAGATTAAACTAAGATCTGCCTGCTCTACAGATATTGTAGCAGATCTGCATTTCTAATGACTTCCAGCTGTTCATGCTGAAAAAGCACTGCAGTAGCTTTTCACACCTTGTTCAATGCTGACATTGTAGAACATAATCTGCTGTCCATTTGGTTGATGAAGTGGAACTGAAAAAAGGAGTAGTGTAATGCAATGCAGATCACTTCAGTACCATGAACAGTACAATATATGTGTGTCAGTATACTGAAACGTGTTGGCTGATCTTGTGCTTGTCCTGCAACCAGAAAACTGCATGTTACCTGGTTATGCCTCTAGCAACCCGCACCCGATCCAAAGCCTCAACACTTGGAAGGAGGCTGTGCTCATTACTACTATTTTCCTTTTGGATTGTCAGCGATGGGCTGTCTGCTTCACTATTTCATGCTCTTATCTGCTTCTCTTTCCACCCATGATAATTGAAGGTGGCTGTAGGCCAGTAAAAGTCTGGGTCGAGGGTGGGGGTGGGGGTGGGGTGGGGAGGAAGGACAGAAACAGAGGAGACAGAGAGAGCTGCTGGAAAGGGCAGGCTTTCATTCAGCAGAGAAACATGTGCACTTCTCTCCAAATGCAGTTTCTCTAAATCCAGGGCTGTGAACAGTATTGATCACTGGCTCTCAATGAGAGGATTAACGGGAATTCACACAAGGGCGTGGATGCTTACCGGTAACTTTTCGTTCACTGTGAGGCAACTTATAGTATATCTGAATTTTAGACATTGTGTTTTGCAGTTTTTATGCATGAAGATGCAACTTTAATATTTCATTTATCAGTAGACAGATACATGTTGGATTATTAGAATCTGTGGAGGTTGTTTTTGATAATGAAATTGCACCTGTTGGGCTGATTTTAGTGTTTTTCATTTATTTTTCAGTGTGCCTTGTGTTATGAAGTGCTAACACTGTTCAGATTAGAAATACTTTAGCTATTTATTACCTTTTACTTTAGTATCCTGGAGCAGTAGTAGCCTGTGGTGCTGCAGTTGCATATTGAAGACATTAAGCTCAGATATCAGTCCCTTGTTTGTGCTACTGTCATGCAAAGAATGAATGGAATCATCTCAAGGTTTTTCCTGGCCATTTCACTTCTCGTAAAAGTATTTCTTGAACCTGTGCAGGCATACTGCACAGTGCACCACGGAATTTCATGTATTGTTCTCACAATTCTTTTTACAGATGTGAGAATTGCATGAATATGAAGAACAATAATATTTGCGACTGGAGTAATAAATACCTGAAAGTATTTGAAAGTGGACATATTGGCTGAAAAGTGATAAGCTAACTACGAGCTTACGTTTTACAAGACATTATTTAACTGTTTGGATTAGTTGAACAGATATCTACGGACAACAACTGATAGGGCTTGGCTTTCCCTTGTTGCTTGAAGAATTTGGCAGCAAAAAATCCCCCTGATCTTGGCAACTGTTTCTTGCTGAACAGCAGTTGTTGTTTCTGGAATGGAAGAAGTTCCTTTTGCCAAATTTACATCAGATAACTAAAACTTCAACAGTTCACGTGGAGTTAAAGCCTGCAGTTGCGTTACATAAACTACAGGTACTAAACAATTTTTTTTCTTCCTGAGCTCAATAATTAAAAAATTGCATTTATGGTTTCTGCTAAATGAGATATCTGAAGGGAGGTATAACTTGTTATACTGTGGTTAAAATGTGTGTGATGACTCAGTGTCGCCCACCCTGTGCAAGAGAAATGTTATCTGGTGAAATGTGAGATATCATTTGTTCGGCAGCTTCCTGAACAGCAAATCCAGCTGGAGCTAAACTGCTACCAAATTGTCTCACATTAATCTTACTAAGTTTGCAAATTATGTCATGTGGTAGTTGTATTAACAGCTAGAACGTTTGTCTTGTTCAATATTTATGCACACTAGCTTTACAGTTCTGCCATTCAATCAACATAACCAAAAAACCTGGAGCTGCACCAATAACCTCAGAGATCAGTGGAGTCTGATACTAACCTGCAACACAAGTGCACCTGTTAATTCTGCTACATTATGCCTGCATTCCAGCTTTAAGCATTGTAGCGCAGCACGTGTAATGTTGCGTTTTTTATTCCTGGATGAAAGATGCTTCTCTTCATCATGACTACATGTGTTTGGTCACAGTCCACAGCCGGAATTTCACTGTCTGACAGTGTAAATGAAATCCATGTGGCTCGAGCAGAGGTGTAGAAACAGTCGGTTTGGGGAAAGTCAGTCAAGGGGAAAGTCATCCTGGCTGGACGCTGCCAATGAGGGGGTTTTCCAGCAACCTCCTCCAGCTCTCTAGTGGAGGAAAATTCTGAAGAAAACGGCTTACACAACTATGACTGCTTAACGCCTCCCTCAACTGTGTTACTTCAGTGCTGAGTTTACATGGTGGAAAAATGCAGTCATGTTAAAGACCGTGACCCCTCGTTGGCTGCACCGGACTCAAACTATTTGGGAGGCCAAGGGTTACATCCTAGCCACTGTTTCGTTGACCTTCACATATCACAATCAGAAATAGCTATGAAGAAGGTGTATGATCACTTCCTTCCTATCAAATTCCTTCCACAAGTCCTCTGTTTTATACTGTATGCAGTATATCTGGTCTCCATTTGTTTCCTTTGAGGATGTCAGCAGTTTCTTCCTTTCACATGTTGGAAACTATTATAAAAGATAATTTGATAGAGCAGCCACAGAAAGAACATATGATAAAGTGTCTGCTGTCAGCTCACATGCAACTCTCCAACTGATTATGCCCAAATGTAAAGATGTCTCACATAGTAACTGGCTTAATATCCCATTTCATCTCTAATTCCATGAGCAGGAACACAACCATCATTATGCTACTAGATGTTGTTTGCAGCAAATGCCATGATATAAGTGTTCAACTTAACATACAAATATTCAGTAAAAAGCATGTTTGTAACATGCCATTGTTTTGTGATTGGCATGAATCAATGTTAAAAGGAAAAACTCAGCATTTTGTCATGTGTTGCACTTGCCTTGACACTGCTTTATTAAAATCTGAGTGAGATTTTAAATTTGTTTTAGCTGCTAAATTTAAAAAATTGTAGTGTATTTTTGTTCTGCGGATGGTAGGATCAGGAAAACCCTCACATTGGTTATTTTGGAATGCACTGACAAATCTGGTCATTTAGATGTTTGGATATGCTAGATGGATAGATCAGGTACCATATCTAGATATTTTATATGAAGAGCTTCAGAATACTATCATTTATTCTGATAATCACATAAAATAGAGACTATATTGGAGTGTAGGAGCAGCATTTCAACAATCAGCCCCCAGACATACAGCAAGGATATAGTTGTGCAGGTGCAGAACGGGGAGCCTTAGGGCCAGGATATAATATGGACTGGGTCAATCAGTCAGGAAGAAAAAAGTTGTAGGGCAAATTATCTGCACAAGTGAGGCTGTTTTAGCAGAGCTGGCACAGCGGATGAATTACGCAGAAGAGCTGGAGGGAGTTGAAAACTATGGAAGCAAACTAAAAGAGATTAATCATATCTACAAACTGTTTAGCTAACATCATCCCAAAATGCAAATATTCAGACATTCCAACATTTTCAATTACATTTTAATTTTGCCAGGATGTAAATTAATAATGGTCCAAGACTGACACACCTGGTGACCTAACTTCTGTATGTGCTTAAACAGCTTGTGACAGTAACTGGTTAAAATGACTTCATCTGCTGATGGGAAGCAAGGTATTACAATTGGTTTTATTCTTGAGGGAGGAAAAGTGTAGGAGTGAAGCTTTTCTGGGTAGGCAGATTGTATTTGGGCCAAGGGCGGGCAGAGATTGGCAAATGGCAGCGGATTTGAGGAAACAGCTGATGATCCCACAGGAAACAGTGAGCACTGGTTCAAGAGTAGTTGTGGTCAGAGTTTCAGTGAATTGTTTGTTTAGTAAAGCTGACCGTGCCAATGGGAGGATGTGGTAGATGAGGCTTGAAAGGAAAATGCTTAGGTGTACTGAGGCTGTGCAGCAAGATTGGAAAGATAGAGTGCGCCACATGGAGGGTGGATGCAGATTTTTCTCATTTCTCATTTATTTATTTAAGGACGGTGCACATTAATCAACATTTCTGTAAATGTGCCAGTGTTAGCCAGCAGGCTTTTCAACTGTAGTCCATATTTTAGAGTATGACTTAGTGGTACGTAAGTAAGTGAATTGTGATTTGTGGGTGGTACTGTAGTATCTGTGGCAGAAGTGGGAGGAAGGAAGTGAATATAACTTAAAGTGTGGGCTGATGGGATTTGCACTTGATAGCCCCGGTGACATTCAATCCATGTTAAATTCAGGGTAGGTGGCAAATGTGTGGTGCTGCCTTCTTAACACAGCATGGTACCCTCTGTTGTTTCTTATTGTGATTTAGTATTATAAAAAAGACAGTGCTAATCATGAATCATGAATCCTTGTGTCAAAATCAGATGTCCACACCAGTAATTTGTAAGTAAAATGTATATGTATTCTGCTATTAATGGCTGTCATTTTAATTTAAATAGCATTTAACTTGGATTTAAAGCTGCTCTAATCAATATTTTCATAATGTAAAATTAATCAGATAACTATGTGTAATTTAAAATGGGTTGCTCGTAGTGACAAACCCACAGAGAATTCTCACCCGACTCTGCTAAGCTTTTTATAGTCTTTCAGCACATTGTTTTGTATTTGTTTTGGCTCTCATCAACATTGTTTCCAGTAGCAGCTGTTTTCCGCTCTGACAAACCCACTGTGTGCAAACCTGCCCAGACAGACAAACACTGTGACTAGGTAGGGGACATAGAGCGGCATCTAGCATATGAAGAGCCAAATATTTTTCTCAGGAGTTGGTAGAGCTAAAAGGAGAGTGACTATTGGACAAACATTTACCAGGCAGACTCTAACATGACTCCAAATGAATACTCATGTTGTCTGCTGGATAAATAAGAATCTGTTTGCGAACATGTTTGCCATATCAACTTTATAAGGCGATACTATGTAGTTGTTGTTGCACTGCCCCCAAGTGGCCAGATAATACAGTTTATAAGAAAGAAATACATATTTTCTGCTGAACCAGTAGATTATACTAACAGTAGTGAGACTATTGTTGAGTATCTTTTTCCATTATTTTGACATTTGGAAGCCATTTTTCTACTTCATAATTACCCCAAAGAATTAACAAACTGCCCTGTCTGTTCTGTGCTTGACTTGGGCCTTGAGCTAAGCACAATGCATACAACATTGTTTGCAACTAGTCAGCTTGTATGTGTCCACTCCTGTGTACTAATGCCTATCCTGGAGGTTGTACTTCTGCAAAGTGTTCAGTTGAGTTGATGAAAAATCTAAATCAGGACATGTTCAATTCCTGTCCAAAAAAAGCTTTTCACTGTATAGATCCATATTAAATGCATCAACCAGGATGTGAACTGTTGAAATAATAACAAAGCCTTACCAAAAATAATATAATTATTAATAATAATAACATTAAAATTAATGTAGAAAATGAATCATTAGAAATGCTTAGTGTGTATCTATGAATGGACTCCCTGCTGTCATGCTTGATTCAAATACATTCATCCAAAGTTAAATCAGATCACCTTCATTTGATTCTCAGGTTGAACTTTGGTGCATCACCCAGAGGGACAACATGACCACAATGCACAAATGCTGCTAATTTGCATATGTATACTATGCTTGAATCATTTATTTAGTTTCAAGTGGGTTCATAATTACTCCAGGTATCACACAACCTGAATAATGACTTGAAATTTCAGGTAGTGGTATAGTTTCGACCTTAAAGTCTATGCAGAGGGCATGAGCCAGAATAAATGGCAACCAAGCATCTCAGTATTGGGAAAACAATAGTCTGAGACATTAATGTCTCTCAAGGCAAGAATAACACAGGGACCACATGTCACAATTGCTTGCAATGTCTCTTTCTTTTCCCCTGCAACACAAAGCATGTTTTTCCCTTTCCACTGTAGGTGCACAACTGGAACTCGATATTACTGCATAATGGGTTACAAAGCGACATCCATGCATTGTGCCTTAAGATGCCTGTGCTTCATGCTTCTCCATTTGTTTAGTGCAGCTCAAGATGAAGACCTAAGAAGTAAGAGTGCTTCTATTTTCATTTTCTCACACTTTGTTTGCTTGTTGTCCATACATTAAAATCTGTCAAATGCATACAACTGATTCAATGTACTGTAAATGAATTTTTTCAATGTATTCCACCAAACTAGACATTGTTTTTGAAACCAATATTTTACACTGCTGATTGTTTATTTCCTGTCTGCTTCAGGTTGTAGGACTGCACCGGGTGATTTAGTCTTTATTTTAGACGGTTCGTGGAGTGTTGAAGATGTCAATTTTGAAATAGTAAAGCGATGGCTTGTCAACATAACAACAAGCTTCAACATTGGACAGAAGTTTACCCAGGTTGGAGTTGTCCAGTACAGCGATGACCCTGTTTTAGAAATACCTCTGGGGAAGTACTCCTCTAACAAAGACCTCATCAAAGCGATGGAGTCCATTGAGTACATGGGGGGGAACACAAGGACAGGGACAGCCATTAAGTTTGCTACAGACAAACTGTTTGGCCTGTCTGAACGCGGCCCATTAGGCATTTCCAGAATTGCTGTTGTCCTCACAGATGGGAAGTCTCAAGATGAGGTTTTGAAGGCCGCAGAGGCAGCAAGGAAAAAAGGTGTCATTATGTTTGCAATCGGTGTTGGGTCAGAGACAGAAGACGACGAGTTGAGGGACATTGCAAACAAGCCATTTTCAACTTATGTCTTCTCTGTTGAGGACTACAAAGGGATTTCCAGGATCATACAGATCATACGGCAGAAACTGTGTGAAGGTACGCAACTGCTGAATAAAGTGTGGAGCTAAAAGTGTCGTTCTGCTCAAATATTATGAGGTCAAATAATACCATGACAGTATCAGTGGTATATCTTCACTTCAGACAGTTTGTCTGCATTATTTTCTGTTATTCCATTCATCCCTAAATTTGTCTATTTTTCTATTTTGCAGAGACAGTTTGTCCAGCAAGAATTCCTGTAGATTCCCGCGATGAGAAGGGTTTTGATATTCTGTTCCATTTAAATTTAGCAAAAAAAACAAAGAAGACACAAGGAGCATTTTACGGCACCAAGGCCTATGAAGTGACATCTCGTGTCGACTTGAGTGAAGCTACGCGGTAATCCTCTTGCTTTTATTCCTTCTTCATCACCACCAGTGCATTCATAAGTTGACTTGACTTTTATATTCGGTCACCCAGGAACCTTTTTCCTGATGGGTTGCCTCCATCCTATGTTTTTGTTGCCACACTGAGGTATAAAGGATCAGTGGCAATAGAGGAGTGGGACGTGTGGAGAATACAGACGCGAGATGGGAAACCTCAGATGGCGGTGACACTAAATGGACTGGACCGCACCGTCATGTTCACGACGACCAGTGAAGCGCCAAGTGGAACTCAAACTGTTACATTTTCACAACAGACAGCACGGGTAAAGTAACACTGTATGCTGTTTCTTTGAAACAGTCTTAATAGTAATCACTCCACTGATTTTACACGTTAAGATCAGTTTACTTTCCAAAGAGAGTACTACACAGCCTGCCGATCCATTTGTATAATGGCTTCTGTGGCTCTCTAGGAGCTTTTTAAAGTCTGCAAGAAGCATTTTTTTTCAACCACACATAATACTTGTTTTCAATCAACTCTAATCTTCCCATTCTCACATTAGTTCAGCCTGTATAAACCTGTAGAGCTTCAGAAGTCTATTTAACCATTACAAAAGTAGCCTAGAAAAGAAGCCTACGGTGCATCTTTATGAATATTTCCTTACCCTGGAAGAAATAGCATTTTCATATTATAGTTTAACTCTTTCAGATCATCTGCCTTGCTTTTTTTCTGAGCTTGAGGAAGGGTTTCCCTTTAAAATGCCCCAATATACTGAAAAAATGCTTCATAACCATGACTACTTTGTACTGTCCAGGTTTTAATGCATCAAACTAACCCAATCAGTTACTGATTTTCTCCTGCTTCCTGCAGCAATGACAGCACTGTACACACTCCCTCCAGGAGAGAGACTATTCTATTGTTTATTTTTTAATACCTTTATCAGCTCACTACCAGCCACATTGCATTAATAACTATTTCCTGTTCTTTGTCTATGGCAAAAGAAGCTGTTTGATGAGAAATGGCATCAGCTGCGGCTGCTGGTCACTGAAGAGGATGTTACTCTTTATGTCGATGACCTGGAAATTGAAACCCTATCCTTGGAGCCCCCTGTCGGCATTTTCATCAATGGAAAAACCCAAGTTGGAAAATATGTCAGAAAGGAAACAACAGTGCCAGTGAGTTTATCAACATCAACAACCCTATTTTCATAAAATAAATGTTGTTCGATTTCCAGAGAAGTCATCCAGAGGTAAGTCAACATGACCATAGAAACGGGGAACAGTTTGTTTAGTGAGGAATGGGGCAAACTCAGTACTGATTTATGCATCAAACGGTAACAGCACTGTTTACTGCTGCCTCCTAAGAGACAAGCTTAACTCTGTGGATAATAAATCCTTCGTAAAAATGAGCCTTTTTGTCCACACGGTCTTATTAATCTGTGTTTTATTTGTCTCAATTGGCACATTTTGCCCCAATAATGCTGTATTTGTAATAAATCATAACTGTGCTGTGTTGTAATTTGCTCTGCAGAAGGCCATATAGCGGGCAGTTTCTTTAACATTGATTCAAACACATCTCTGCAAACATAATATAACATTTTAATATAATGATAACAATGTGGGAAACAAGAATAAATGTGTTCTGCACAATGCATCATTTTATTCTAATTGTCAACATGATGTAACACCTTTTATAATAAAACAATAGCACAAATTGACCATTTAAAATACCTCTGACACATATGTAACCAATTAGGCTAGGTTTGGCATTGTTGCCTTTGTGGCCATAATGACAGTCGATGAAATAAAATACATATAAAATAAATCTAAATCAAATAATGCAGCACATTTTTAAACAAAAATCCTTCGTAGAACTCGCTGTGTGTGATTATAATATATTTAAAGAATAATATGATTTAATCACTAACAGAATTCCATAACAAATAGGAGAGTGTCTATGCAGAAAATTCTTTGTTTAAAAAGAAAGAAAGAAAAATAAGATACATCATTCATGATTTTTACTTCTCCTATGCCAGCCTATGTTGACACATCATTATGGCTGTGGATATTAACTTGACCCACATCTTGGAGGTGAATGTCCTTGTGTGTACTGATCCATTGTTATAAGGATCATGTAGGTTTAAGTCATTTAACAAAGTAAATGTACTTATACAAGTATAATTTCTGGATAAACACACTTGTAATTGGAAACAGAGTTTTGTAATTGGACCTCTAAAACTATACCACAATGGACCACAATGCAATTTTAAATAACATTACATTAGAATGATAATCAGACCAGACATTCTGATCATGTTTAAACCCAAATAAAAAGCCACCGTTGTAATTAACAAAATGTAAACTATATTTTTTTAGAATGATTTATGCTTTCATGAGGCTGGAAATAATACAAATCATATGTCAGGATCATCTTTCTGCTCACATCATAAGTGAAGTCTATGGGACACTCTGGAGCCATTTTACCACTAACATCAACAACATACCAAATAATGGAAGAACAGTGTAACGTTGCTGCAGAACACTTCCAAAAACTGAGGGAGGTCTGCCAACACTGACCTACTCAATGCTCAATAACGGGCACTTATCTTTTGTTTAACAGTTATACAATAGCAATTTCAGTTCATTAGTGGCAAAGCACTGATAAAACTGCAAAATTACCCTCATATTTACATTTGTTTGTTTTTGCTAGCGTGTTTAGGATCTCCAACAGTGGAGGTTGTGCTTCTAATAAGAAGTTCTTCTTTCTTTCTTTTTTTTTTTTTTGTTTAGTTTGAAATTCAGAAACTTCGCATTTACTGTGACCCTGAGCAGAATACTCGAGAGACAGCGTGTGAAATACCAGGAGTTGTAAGTAAAAGAGTCTGCTTGGCTCTGCACTTGTTTTTCAGTCCAAGAGCAACTTCTTCACACCTACTTCTCACCTTGTCCAACCACATCTGTTTCTGCTCTGAAATGCACTGCACAATTTCACCATTAATTAACTCTACACCGTATACTGCATGGCATAAAATGATTTTCTTTCTTTATATTTCATCAGTACAGTGTATTGTAATATTGTGTGGTGAAAGTGTAAACTCAGCATATTCAGTTGAAGTCACATCTGTTTATGTATAAAATAATTAGTTGGAGGAGGACCCATGGCTCAGCTTCAAACATTTTGCACTCGGTATATTTTTTTTATTGTCTGCTGGCTCCAACTGTGTTTGTGAAGCAGTGGCTCATTATTATGTTGGCTTAGAAATTGCTATAATCACAAAGCCTGTGCCAAATTACTATTTTAATGTAAGGCTGTTGGATAAAATTATCAAAAGACACAAGTTGAAAAGCCTAAAGTTACAAATGCTTGCCAAGTACCACCGCTTCCCTGCTGTCTCTGTGTGTTTTTCAATGGTTTATTTGCAATGGAATCTCAAAGTTCAGTTATCAGTTGCCTCTTTGGAAGAATCGCACCACATTGGATTAAAAAACTGAAAGTAGGCCAGTTTACAGTTCACATTTACAGACTTCAAGTTTTTTTGTGATGAAAAGGGTTAATGTATTTCTTAAAAATTTGAATGTAAACATGCTTTCTCATGTCTTAGTATTGGAGTTTTGCAAACATTTTTTGATTAATCAATTAGTCATCAGAAAACTAATGAAAAATGTCCAAGGAGACATCTTAGAAGAGTAGAAGAGTATGGAAACCAGCAAATACTAACATTTGAGAAAGGCTAACCAAAAATTGTGGCTTTTTAAAAAAAAAATACCCCAAAAAATGATGAATGCATTGTTAAAATTGTTGCTGATAATTTTCTGTCCCCTGACTATTTGATAAATTGACTCATTGTTGCAGCTCTCAAATGTATGATTTGGTATGTGCACCCACTGTCTTGGTCTTTTCCACTATCTATTAATTTTGTTCTTTACAGTGCTCCATCAGAACTGATTACAGTGAACCAACTCAAGAACCTTGTGTTTGTCCTCCTGGACCGCCTGGACTTCCAGGAATAAAGGTCAGTTATTGAAAATGTTCTTTCCTCTTTAAATTACATTTTTCATTTCATTATTTGTCTTACTACTATACTGCTACACTGAAAACCAGCCTATGAGCAGAGATGAAATGCAAAAACACACTCACTATGCTGTGAGCTAACAGAAAGTGGAGTCTGTTTTTGGTTTCGCACATCTACACTGTCCAGCTCCTCAGTGTTTAACAGTTGGTTAAATATTTACTTTAAACTGTGGTATTCTGTTAAGATTAAATAAAAGAAGAACAACTTAATCTTTAACAATGTTGGTTTATGTATAAGCTCAGGAATGACAAAGAGACTAAGGCTTCTGTTGGTAGGCAGAGCACAAACTTCTCACAGCTTAGCCTTCAGGAAACGTGTGCTGTTAATGTCTAAATGCTCCTGTCTGGGCTGGATAATTAAGTGATGAGCACACAAGGTTGCACTTTACCAATAGGTCAAATCCAACTACAGTCATTACTGTCTGTAAATACAGATTTCCTTTATGCCAGAAACACTGCTGTGTGGGAAATTTTAGCACCTTTATCTCTGAAATACACTGTACCTACTGAAAACATTATCGGATTTTACAAATTATGGGCTCACCAAATTGCCTCTTTCCGCCAGTTAGGCAAATTGCGGCTTGTCACTGTGAGTAAATTATGGTTATTCTTGTAAGATCCTGGTGTACTGTACTGTTTGCTTAAAGCAAACCAGACCTCTACCCAAGATAAACACTGGTTGGTGAATGGAAAATTACCAAAATAGGGAATAAAACCTACATCTACGTCTTTACTGATCACAGGGCATCAACCAAATAATAGGTGCCCCGGTCATAAAAGCCTTCACACAAGGACCTTAGAGAGATATTAACATAGCAACAAAATTCTTTGTTAATAAAACCTACATGGGTTCAGGCATGTTTGTGTTTATAAGAGCACCACTATGTTTTTACTACAGTTAGTAATTGATCCAAAATGCTGGGGCCATTGCTGGCTTGCAGATGTTCCTTATAACCCCCCACATAGTGTTCAAGAGCATCTTACATTAGATAAATCAGCTAGCTCAGCATGGTTTATAGATTAATCAAATCAACACTTTACGCCAGAGAAAGCATATTGTTACCAGATAAGTTTTAAATGGATACATTTATGCTGCTTTGAGGTTGCATGATCCAAAAAACTTGTTTTAGTTACTCCTGATTAAATTACCTCATTGTACTTTTTTTAGGGAGAACAAGGAAATACTGGCAAACCTGGTCAGCCTGGACCTGTTGGTGCTGATGGTAAGCCTGTGAGTACTACATAGTTCAATATACAAACATACAGAACATAACCGCCAACAACAGGGTCACGACATTCGAGAAAAAGCCAAAAACAACTATAAGAAACTGAGTTAATGTAACCCATTAGGTCATTACAATTTCAGCTTGTTCGTTCTATGTGGTCAGGGTCTGCTCCAGAATGTTAAAACGCAGGGGCAGATATAATTATTTAGTTATTTTTCCAATGGGCAAATAAAAAACATCTCTGATTATACCACTGGTGGCAGCATAGTGGGATGAAACCTATCCAAAAGTGAACCACATGTTTTACAGCAGCAGGATCCAAAATTCAGAGAAAGAGTCCACCCCGCAGCCTAGATTGACTCAGAGAACATGCACACAGTTGAGGATTCAAATGTTTAACCAAATCTGTGTATCTTTTGTCTTATCATTTCATTTTAAGGGTATCCCTGGCATTAGAGGAAGCCCAGGGGTGCCAGGTCCACCAGGAGTAGAGGTAAAGAGAATGACACTTAATTTACATGTTTAATTCAATTACAATTCAGCATCAAGAATAATAAATAGTGAAGCTGGTCTCCTTTGTTACTTCTGTCAGGGTCCACGTGGACCGGATGGGTACAAAGGCGAGCAAGGGAGGCCTGGTGTTTCGGTAGGAAGGTCAAAAAGCATCATCGGCACTAATTTGCGATCGCTAAAACCCAAGTTTGTAATACAAGTCTGTTCTTTCAGGGTGAGAGGGGTATGCCTGGATTACAAGGATCACCTGGACTAACAGGAGAGAAGGTGGTGATGTTAATTATTCAAAAAAGTGGTGACTGCGTTATTGCTCGCTAATACGGCATCTCAATGTTTTTCAATCTTATTTATCTATAACTGAATCAAAGCATGGAAAGTGAGCATAATTGCTGAATGAAAAATTATTTCGGTAGTGATCGTTATAAAGTACAAAACACACTTTGATTTGTCTAGGTAAATCTTCTTTTTATGAGAACAAATGTAGGACTAACAGGAAATCCCTGCTAGACACATCAACTCGAAACGTTCGAACATCACTGCATCAATCACTCCAGGAACCATATGTTATGAATATAAAGCCAGATCCCCTGGGAGAGTGAAAAACACAACTTCTGTACTGTGGGACAAGAGCACTTTGTAGAGAGAGCACTGGGGCCATCAGAGACTTTTTAAATGTGTTCATATTTCCTGACTTTCGTTCTGCCTTTTCCACCAGAAACCTGAAACAGGTGTACTTTCTCTTCTATTTTTAGGAAGCCAGAGGTGTATCGTGTTTCTCTTGTTGCCTTGAGTCTGCTCCTCAATCCGTAGCCTCTGATAATTATAGTTATCAGACAGATTACAGATCTGAGGTGTAGCTACAAGGAAGAGAGTCAATGTCAGTGTCACATGAATCAAGGCAACATGCATGATTTCCTGAGATCCTAAGATATAATCACCCTTCAGAAACCCCAACTGAGTCTACAATATGGATTTATATTGTTAAGGATGAGTCTTCTTTTATCAGAAGAAACCTGCCAGCTCAACGGCTTCCACATTAAGGCGCGAAAGGGGAGAATCTCTTAACGTTAGATAAAAACAAAGCAAGTTCAGAAATCAAAGGCAGACTAACCCACAGTAAGTGGCTGCTTCTCCTACTGTTTAGTCACACAGACTAGAAAACATAGATGCAGTTGATGCTGCGCGTTACTTGCAGCTGTCATCAACAATGTGTAAGAAGGCAAAAACATATGAACCACAAGGGGAAAGCACCTGTGAGATTAAATGTGTCAGCTGCCACGACCAGTCCAAACGAAAGTGGAGCAAGTTGAGACTAATCCACACCAAGGGGAGTCAGTCCAGCAGTTTGTGCTCACTGAGTGCTAGAAAAACCTCAGCTCAACAGTCACAGCAGACTCGAGCAGAATCCCAACAGACCTAAAACCTTATCCAGAACTTTTTCATTGCTCTAATGTTTCATCTGCTTCTTTGATGTTCATCTGAAAAACATTTTGCTTTTAGTGTTATTTCTGAGGTACAGTTAGGTAATGCATCCCCTCTATATTGCATCTGTCATATCATTCTTCTGTCCTCCTATTGTAATCAGTGTAACCACAGGGGGGCCCTGCTAGTTGGCTGAAGTGGAGAACAATTCAAGCAGTTAATGTCATTTAGAAAATTGTCTTAGTTGTCTGCGACGCATGTCTGCACCTGGAGCGACTCCTCATATACCATCTGTTCCATTATTATGGTTTCACACACAAAGGCAGGATGTATCAAATTAAGTTTTTACTAGACTGTCTTCTCAACTTCCTTTGATTAGGTGGAATACTTTTGGCCATACAAAAACACAAAGAGAAAGAACACAATGGGAGACTGCACTTATAAAGACCAGGTGGATTTAATGTATCTTTTTTTATTTCATTTCCAGTTATGCTTAAAACAGGATCACGGCTTTTACTGGTCTATCAAAGTGCTCTTTTAAAATCCCATAATTATACATCTAATCAGTGTAATGGTCTGAGGCATCATGCATGGTGAGATGAGTGTCTAGAAGGTGCACTGCAAGTGATTTTCGTCACTTGCAAAGCAAGACAGCTGTCAAATGTGTTAAAGAGGAAGAAAAGCTCTAGTCTAATACAGTAAGGTAAAATATTCACATTACTGTAGATAAAAAAATATATATATTCTTGCACCACCAGTCAAATGTGTTCAAGTTAAATTCAGAAATAACTGCAATTTCTGAAAACTGATTTGTGTGAGAACGTTGTTTTCTGAGTCTCAAACTAACTAGATCAGTGTGGCTTCTGGACATAAAGTCAATATATCACTGCAAATCATATTGAGCATAGTACTTCCACACTAATGCAAGACATGTTATACACGCAGACACGTGTGGATCAGAAATAGTCCTTGACATCTACATCTGCATACACATGTACTGAGTTATACACATCACTGTCACATTAACTCTCCACATCTCATCCAAAACAACTTATAGTAATAAATGCATCAACAAAATGACCTTCTGGAGTCTACAGCAGCTCTGTGCTCTGTGAGGCTGTACTTAGGCACAGTGGTGCTTTGAGCTGAATGTTAATGTTAGCATCGTAACATGCTCATGATGACAATGCCAACATACTGATGTTAAGCAGGTACATGTCTATCATGCCTGGTCCAATGTGGTGGACGGACCAACTGACTGACTGACCGACCGACATTGTAAAGCATCACCCTTTATATGAAACAGCAAAGCACTTCAGTGCCTTTGGCTCTTCCATAATTCAAACTATATCCATTTGGCTTTAAACTTTAAAATATTCTTCATAGGGGCCAAGTGAAAACGCTCCAAAATGTTTGATCTAGGTAAATAAATGGCCCTCATGTTTTGGTCACAGGTGTTTTCACTCCAGGAAAGCTAAAAACCCTCCATGCACCACAGAACAATCTCTGAGGACCAAGAGGTCTTCAACCAGCAGGGAGCCACGTAATCTTCTCTTAAAGTTAAGGAGGGAATCCTCATCTACCTTTCCAAATTGTTGCCATATTGGAAGACCACCCAGGGGTGTAGTCTAATTTTCCTGGCAAAGGATCTAGAGAATGGAAACATGAGATGTCTGTTAAATCAAGTCAGAAGCACATTATTCAAGGACACAAGAGGAAGAAAGACTGTTAGCCACTTTGCCAAAAAATGGCTACGTTTGTGTATTCACAGTCTGAGATACTTGTTCACAACCACAGTCATTCATCAACTTTGAAGGAACATTTCATTGCTAATTATATGGGCATCCAGTCCGTGCTATTAATCTCTGTAGTTCATTAAAAGCGTACATTGGCGGCATTCATTTTGACAGGAATCATGTTGTTCCTGATAGAAAACCCACAATCCAGCTTTGGGAATAAGCATGCGTGTTAGAAAAAGCTCCTTATTGCTGCTAGAAAGCAGGCTTTCCTGCACAACAGAGATGTGCGAGTCATTGCATAAACTACTTGTGCTAGCAGCTGCCCTTGTTTTATGCTCCATGTTGTCACAAAACTGGTACTCCCTAGCAATTGCAACATAAACCCAAGAACACAGTAAAAGTAACTGCAGCATAAAGACAAATAAAGAATTGGGTTCCATGATTATGTCTTTTCTGCTCAAGCTGCAGCACCCTGAGCGTCTAAATGCCTCATACTGTAGCTCATTGGACTCTTTTGGACTGGAATTCCCCTAGCAAACAGAACTGTAGTGATGGCCACAGCTGCAGAGATGTTTTGATACCAATGGGACATGAACACATGTGGGACCCGTTTGCTAACTGAATATTGAATTCAGCTCAAACTGAAGGAAGGAAACTGTCCATGCTTTGACTAAAATGTCTTTTTATGCACATAATTTTTGCAAATGAAGCCAGGCATTAATGAATACGTCAATTGGTTGTACGATGTAGAGTAATTTGTTCCATCATGGTTTGATTAGCCTATTTTTGAATGGAATGCAAAAACTGGAAAAATTTAATTATGTAATGTCCAACCTTGTTCCAAATGCTTTTTTTAAATTCTGAAAATGTGAAAATGCAGTGACGCAGCATTCCCCCACGTTTTGGCACTGTTCAACAGATAGTAACATCTAGTTTTAGGTCAACCAGTGCAATTTTTTAAATGCCAGAATGACGCAATGAAACAGGTTACTCCCTTAAGTTTCAGTCCAAATAGCTGATGGAGTCATTGTCTATCCCAGAAAAACAAGACCACTGCTGACTAATGTCAAATACTGACTGCATGTGTGACCATGCAGACTTTACAATGAGTCTATGAAGTGCTCTTGTCCCAAACTGTATAACTTGTGGTTCCTGATCTGACTGACAAAGAGTTTTTGAGGTGTTTTGCATCTTTATTACAAACACGGATGCTCCTGTCAAATGAGCGGCAGATTTATCACTGTCTGAAAGTCTGGATCAGCCAGGCAAGCTTAGACCACGGAAGATAGGAACTATTTTTAGATCACATCTAATGATGATTTCCAAATCTTTTCTCAGGGCTCAACTGGATCCCCGGGAATAGCAGGTTTACCGGGAAAAGCTGGTCAAGTGGTAAGGGTGCAGACAATCAGCTCAGTCACTGGACATGACACAAGAAATATAACAATTTTAACCCGATGCCATAATATTTCCAGGGAGAAAAAGGAAGTATGGGACCTTCTGGGCCACCAGGTTATCCAGGAGAACCTGTACGTATAAAAAAAATTCAGAATCAAAACCAGAGCACACGTGCAATTATCGTGTGTAAAGGCCTTTTCTCTGATTTCAGGGCCTACCTGGGAGAGATGGAAAGGATGGATTTCCAGGGAGTCCTGGTCAAAAGGTCTGTTTGTTTTGACAGTACAGAACAGAATGCTGATTCAGGGATTAGAAGAATAATAGAGGCATGAGGTTGGCTAAGCGTGCACATTCATAACAGACTTTGCTGTTTCCAAAAGTTGTGTTGTTGATGTTTGGCAACCATGGAAATGTAGTCATACAGCACTGGTGTCCCTCTTGACTTTTTCCATTCCCCATCTGATATATTTTGTAAACATCAAAGGCATTCTCCATGCTTCAGATAGATGTCTATTTAATAAATCTAACCTGACATGTAAGAATCTGAGACAATGATGCGTACATAGGGCTCATCATTAGGACTTTGGATTAAAATGAAATATATTAATAATGTGTTTTTTTCTCCAATGTATTAAGGGAGAAACTGGGGCCAGTGGTATTCCTGGTGCTGATGGAAGGGAAGGCCATCCTGTGAGTCATTAAACAGACATTACTCATTGTTCATGTTTGGTATTTTGTAGGTAGTTTGAGTTGTTGTTATTGTCTTATATCTTTACTTATACTCCAAGAAATGTGATGTGTATGAATGAAACTTCAGCAAAGCATTCTGAAGCTAAAAACAGAGAACCTTATGTAGGTGGTACTTTTCATTATGGTGTACAAAGTTCTTCAAGGACAAATGCCATACAAATTGTAGCTGACACGAAATTATCCGGTAAGTAATAGAAGAGCAAAACAGGTCAATACTGTACAAGAGCTGATTTTATGGATCACAGATTTGCATGCATAGCGTTTTTTCACTGTAGTAAAACTGCAGTGTGTTAACATACTGCAGTAGAGAGAGTACCCCTGACAGCCAGTAAATTAGGGGTATTTCCCCTGTAGTTCATCCCAGGATAACCCTATTATGTAACAAGCAGGCTCAGAGTATAATCTAAGCCAGTGAAAGTAACTCATCGAGGGAATGCTGTGGTGCTCTGGCAAATCTGTTTTAGGAACAAAGTGTTTCAACTGGGCAGCCACCCCACTGATCATGAATTAAGAGTCATCCAAAAGTTTGTGATGGACCTACAAAAGATGAGTCAGTTGCTCCACCAGCGTGTAAGCCATTTTCCCCCAACAGAACAATAGAGTTAGCGATGTATCCAAGGAGACAGGATTAGTACTGTACTTAAAACAAGATGAAGTTAGCACTTCAGTGTAGGGTCTCAGTACGAGGATTTCTTCCCCTATAGGTTGAGTCTGAGTGTCTGGGTGGCTCTATCTATATTTCTGCCTCTCTGCCTGCCTGTCTAATCTGTTCATTATGCACATATGTTACTCAAACTGCAGTCTGAGGCAACCACTAAGCATCTGCAAGCATTTATCTAAATAAAAAAAATAAAAAAATCTAAAACAAAAAACTAAAGAGCTTTTCCAGGGTAGTTTTGCTGCATGTGTTGAACCACATAAACTTCCAATGTACTAAACCATTTATTAAATTTTTTTAAAATAGAAAACTACTTTTTGTTTTATTACATTTCTCAGCAAATAAAATGCAAACAATTCTTCTAAGGGTCAAACAATTTGAAACAATGATGAAACCTTAGACAGTGCTCTACTAGTGCACAGAAATGAAAAGATTTTTATTTTTTTTGTGGGGGGGGGGGGTGATTAGATTTACAAAATTATTCTTACCAAGAATTTAGCCTTAAAAAGCACAAACACTATGACTCTCAACTATTTGTGTTTCCAACCGAAAAAAACATAACTTGGGAGTATAACATTTTGGTAGACATCTCTTTCAAATGTCAGTTCAATCAGTTGATTTTATTTAGCAATTGGCTACAATTGTTACTGAAGCAATTCACCCATCCATCCATCCATCCATCCATCCATGGTCAACTGCTTATCCTGCGCACAGGATCACGGGGGGCAATGAAGTAATTACTTCACTTATTTCAAATGAACTGGAACCTGCTTTTTAGTATTGGTTCAGAAACACTGCACACGAAAACATGCTTTTTTATTAAAAATGTTCTACTGAATATTGCAAACTTTTAGTAGTAGATAATACTAGCGCACATTAGAGACATTACACAGGACTATATTATGAGACAAACAGAAACATTTCAACTGATCTGCTATAGAGAACAATCTGTTTCCTTGCTCCCAGGGTATGCCTGGATTGCCAGGAATTGCAGGCCTGAACGGACAAAAGGTGAGCTACTGACTAGGTGACAAGTCCCTAATGTTGGTGCAAAATAAACCAATCAATGGTTTTGCATAAATATTTGTAATCATGTTTGACTGTCTTTGATTCTCATTTAAGGGGGAAGCTGGTTTGCCAGGACCCAGGGGCTTCAAAGGATCAACTGGGCCACCTGTAAGTTAACATCTGTAGACTTTTTTGTGCATAGGTTCAGTGCACACCAAAGTGTTAAAACTGAATCTAAAGAAATACCAAACCATTTTTTTCACTATCCTGTAGGGTGAGATGGGTTTACCTGGTGCACCTGGTTTAAAAGGACCAATTGGAACCAAGGTAATCATTTGTGCCTGTTAGAAAATTTCCTCTGAGCTTCTTCAAACAGCCCTATTGTTAGTGATGCAAAGCTACAATGAAGCTAGCAGAATTAATGACTGACTTTGAACTTAATAACAGACATCAAACAGATTTAATACAGGCTTTAAAATGGATAAACTGTGCAATAAATATAATGTGAGTTTATCTCCTGCTACATCCCTGGAGCTGTGAGTGCACTGGCTTAAACTGTGACCCAGAAAAGTCAATACCACAGATCAATCCACACAAGCTGGCATTAGCAACCGACAAGGTGCAGGCCGAGCCATGTCATGATCTAAGTCAAGTCCAAGCACAATGTAGTACTGCAGATCAGTGTGGCATATTTAACATTCCCAAGCCCTTTATCATCCAGCCTATACAAAATGCATTGCAGTGGACAGTGTCATTAGTTTCGATAAGGTTAAATCTGTGACTGAAATGCACGGAAAGCTGCTTGGGTCAGTAGCACTTCATGTTTTGTTTGGTCACTATTTTACTAAAATAGACTTTAGCACAAGTAATGATATCTTGGCCACACCGGCAGTGTTAAATTAAGCGATGATACGGCCCTTCTGCTTTCGTCAGTGGAATTTTAGTGGAAATGTAAGCAGTCTGGGCTTGTCTGGTCTGGGCACTCTGTCTCCTAATCACTTTTCATTAGCTGATCTGCCTCAAACAAGCCAATGTGTATTGGTAAATGGCACACAAGTGAAAAGCTAGTTTATGGACAGGCAGGCAATACTTAGATTTTATGGCCGAGCTTCAGACTGCAATTACTGAGGCTTCAATTGGAAAAGAAAGCATTCGACTAGACACAATTAAACGTCAAGCTGCACCCAAACCTCATGAAAGTATGCTGAAGTCCAGTCAGTGATATGATGCGGTTAGGATGTTACTTCATTGTAAGTTTTCTGTAACATAATACATTTTATTTCTTAATCAAGGGGAATAAGGGCGAAAGTGGCAATCCAGGTACACAAGGATCACCAGGGCCTGTGGTATGTCTGCATTTAAATAATCTATTATGAACCAGGTGGCTTTATGTCTGATTTAATATACTGTTTAAATCAATAAAGCTGCAAGTGAATAAATGTATTATCCACAACGTAAAACAAAGTATTTTTGGAAGTCTTTTCTACCACTACACTATGTAAGTGTGTTCTTGTTTTTAATGATTGGTGTTAAACTGAATACTATTAAAGGGGAGTGCAGGTGAACCAGGAATAGCAGGTCAGCCGGGGCACCCTGGCATGCCAGGCCTGAAGGGCAGCAAGGTATTTCTACTATATGTTTTTATCTGCCAGTGTTGTAACACTGCTGTCTCTTCCCCTTTTCAGATATATGATTTACGAAATAATTAAATTTATCATTTGTTGTTATGATTCATAATTTGTTGTTGTTTACTAGTCAGGGTTAACCCAGTCTGGTCAAACATAAATTTCATATCTAATATTCTGGAAAACTTACATAACTAATATTTAGTTATGTATGTATGTTTTATTGTAAAATGCTTAAATAAGCCGGATGTGAGAAGTCTTCATGGTGATATAAAGTATATCATATTTAGTTTTTCTGTAAATCATGTGGAACTGGTCTCAAAATGTACTACAAAGTTATAATCAATGTCTATTTTTTATCAGGGACAAAGAGGAAATGCAGGTGAGAGAGGAGAGACGGTAAGATTTGAGTCAAAATTACACTGCTATCAACACATACTACACTATCACAATAGATCCTGAACAGATACTGTAATGCTAATCTAAAGTAATAACTTCAACTGAGAGGCTGAGAGCCCATCACCAGCTTTAAAAAAAAAACATGGGTGTAACTTATCACCATTGGGTGACAGATCAAAGAATAACTGCCACTGATCCGTTTTATTAAAACACACACAGTGGAACTCAACCAGTAATTATTGGTCTTATTTAACACGGTAGGCTTTCTGTCAGTAGCCTACCTCTGTGAGTGGAGGAATATATTTTCTTTAATTAATTTAACATAGAAATCAATGTATTTCAAGAATCCAGTGGAAATAAAGCCTCCCTTGGTACATCTATTGATTATGGTTTGGAAAACACTCATATTTCTCCAATATTTTGTCTTTCGGAAGTATAACTGGATATGTGCCGTTTAACAGTCTTCCAAAATGTGTTTTTTTCCATTACGCTGAACTGGATCTATTTCGGTCGATGAAAACAAAATCAACTCATAGTGTAATCATATGTAATCAAATGTAATGGGTGTTAATGTGTCGCGTTTAAAACATATTAACACCAATAAATACTGCTATAAATATGTATCAATCATTATGTTTTGAATGGGATGTTTTAACCTGCAGTACCAGTGGTTGAAACACTGATTTCATATGCTTTCATGATGTTTATCTAATGATTTTCTTACCAGGGAATAAAAGGTGAAAAGGGAGAGCATGGCTGGCCAGGGGAACATGTGAGTTTCTTAGATCACCTTTGTTGTATGATGAAGACACAAGAATAAATGGACACAAGTTATGCAAAAGAAATGCACAATAATATCACTAAGATATTTTATGAAATATTTTACTGTGTGTTTTGAAATGGTTTTCTTTTAATATTGCACAAAGATGAACTTATATTCAATATACAATATTTTAATTACCTCCCTCAAGAATGGTCTATATCCTTTTCAGTTACATGGCAGGTCAGCCCAAAAACTTTGTAAATAACGCCACCATGTGGCACTTTTAATCATCACTCATAACTCCTGAACTGTTAGGCTTCGCAACGAAATTATTTTTGGTCACCACTCTTCATCAAGTCTTCACCATGTTTGGTACATAGCAAATTTGTATACCTGCGTAAGGATGATCCTTTTACTGGAACCTCAAGTCAAGTCAAGGTCTTGAAGGTGTGGTCTGACGTAAACTATCATAATTCCTGAACACATGCAGGTGCGACTGTAACTGAATATAGATGACATTTCAGTGAATCTGCAATATTTGATGCCCTTTAGTCTACAGGTAGTGCTAGATCAGCCTGATACCCGCCTGGTGGTCTTGAGTCTGACTTGCTTCAAATTTTCATTCATAAACGCTAAAATTTCCAATATGTAGGCATTCTCCAAAAATCAGCAAGATTGTCTGTCACTGTGTATTTTGATCTAGAAGCTGATTTTCTATTATTACAAAATAACACATTTTGAGGAGTGTGTTACTTGTTGAAAGTATGTGCCCTCTCAGTGCTTTCTATTTTTTAATGACTTCCTGCCTTTGATTGACAGGGCTCCACTGGTCCAATGGGACTAAAAGGAGAGGTATGTTAAGCTGAATGCATTAATCACTTAACCTCCATCCAACCTGAACTGGTGTGTGTATTGCTAACACTGAGGTGGTATTTTTGCCAGAAAGGGACAGCAGGGGATCCAGGGCAGAGAGGTCAAGAAGGTCAAGTGGGACGGCCTGGACAGTCGGGTCAGTCAGGCCTACCTGGGCCCCGGGGGCTGCAGGGGGACACAGGTCCACCAGGCCCACCTGGACCTGAAGGAAGATCTGTATGTGCACTACACATTGTGCTACCAACAGCTAACGACTGTTGATAATGGTTTTTATTATGACGTTATATCTAATATTGAGTGGACAGTCACTGAAAATCCACATGATCCATTACTTTTTATTCCAGGCTAGTGAAATGTCAGACAATCACATTCGGCAAATCTGCAGAGAGATTCTTCTGTGTGAGTATCAGTATAGACTGACTGATGATGTGTTTCTGTGTGTTCTCACCACGCATTTGAAATATTTTGTCAATCATCCTAGCCGAGCTGCCTTTATTGTTGCTGGGCAGCCAGCAGAGTAGCTGTACCAGATGTCAAAGCCGGCCTGGATCTCCTGGTCCTCCAGGACCAACTGGGTCCCAAGGACTCAGGGGCCTTCCTGGACTTACTGGCTCCAGGGGACCACCGGGCCACCCTGGTCGGCCAGGGCACCCTGGTATTAATGGGCTGAAAGGTAAAATCAGCGTCAAAGTAAACTGGTAAGTCTGTTAGTAAAGCTGTTCCAAGGATTCTCAAGCAAGAACATTTGCGTTTGTAGGGGAACCAGGTTTCGACGGTGAGAAGGGGAGCCCTGGTCGAACCACCATTGGAGACCAAGGGCCACCCGGGCCTCCGGGTAAAGTGACTTTTATTGTAATTATATAATAATTAATCAGAAATTGTGGAAGTTCACCTTTTACTACTGCATGCTGTTCCATTAAACTGATCATGGTTTATTATTTTTATCTCCACAGGTCCAATGGGTCCCCAGGGGTACAGTAAGCCAGGTCCTCCAGGTAAGCCTGGACCCCCTGGTCTAAACGGAGCAGAGGGCAAAAGTGGTAGTCCTGGCATCCCTGGTGAGCCTGGGGTGTGTGATCCATCCATGTGCTATGGTAGCATGATGAGACGGGATCCTTACAGCAAAGGGCCAAACTATTGACGTAATGTAGCGTCACAGCAGGCACCAGTCTAGAGCTGATGTGGAACAAACAGCCATTCTCAGGAAGCTCTCATCTTCACAGTTTCTCTCTGTCGTGGAAACAAAACAGACCTCTTCTTACACCTTTTATGTGATCTCACAATCAACAGAACTAGATCCTGTCATATTTTCTCTGTTGATATTTTTTATTATTTTTTACATGTCTTCGAGCATGTTTTGAGGTTTCATTGGTGTTAAGAGAATTAATAATTGGCTCCATTTAATGCCTCTCATCTGAGCACCTTGAACTCATGTCCTGTATGTGTTTGTGGCCAGTGTGGCTGGTCCTTTTTCCCATATTGGCCCCTGGTGTTGCTTCGTTGCATGTCGCTCTCTAGATTTTCACTGCACTTGGTTGTGTGGTTGGTTGTGTTCCATTCCAAAAAACACAACTTCTGTAATACATAAATTCTATGTTGGATCAAAATGGTTTCAGCACAAGACTGTGAGCTTGATTTCCTGAAGCTGATTATGAGCTGCTGTAAGCCTGTGTTCCTAAAGCATTCAAACTGACTGTTAAGCACTTAACCCTCTACGAAAACCTTTTTACAACAGCTAATATTGTGTATCACGCAAGATAAAGGAACCCCCCCATATCACAATACCCATTCATTCATTCATTCTCGTGTCATTTTATTCCAATTAGGAAGTAAAAAGTTTTACCATCTAAGAACATGCTGACATTTTAGTTTCAAATGTTATCATGTATGTCCCTGTGGCTTACCTTTCATTACTGTAGCAGGTATTTCATTGTTATTTATAAAAAAAGAGTCATAACTATGTATTTCAGCAGTGACATGTCTTAAACAGCTCTTGTAATTTTATTTTTTTTAAGTGACTTTTGTATGAATCTTTTTTTTTTTAAACTAGAATTAAAATATCTTAATGATTTGTGAACTTAGTTTGTTCTGTTCTTTGGTCTTCACGTTGCAGGTTTATTTCAGGACTCCCACACATCACCAATCTTATCTTCCTCTTGGGAAATTTGTTTGACTCGTTGGGTGTGGCGTGTGCTTGTGAGTGTGAACGTTGCCACTTTTTACTGCAGCATCAAAAAGGATGAACTGTGATGGCCATGGAAACAAATGAAAAAAAGAAAGACCATCACCTGGGTCCTTCCCTATGGTCCTTCCTCTAAGGACGCAGCATAATAGGAAACTTGGATACAAGTGCAGCTCCAGCTAAGCTTCTGTCTGCAGTGTGTGTGTGTGTGTGTGTGTGTGTGTGTGTGTGTGTAAGCGTGTCATAGCAATTTAGGTGTTGCGGCTTTGTACACTAGATGGCGCTCTGTGGTAGCCCGTCCCTGAGTTACCTGACCTAAGAAAGAGCTTCCCTTTTTCATTTTGGACAGCAGCCACCCATCACATGGAAACCTCTGAATATTTGTTTTTAATTATCTTACTTATTTTACTTACTTTAACATAGCCTATTGCTTACTTATGCTCCTTTGAGAGCGGAGATTTCAGTATTAAAGCTCTTTGCTTTAAATTAACTTTACTATACACTCAAAGTCAGCTTTTGAGGTAAATATTTTTTAATAATTGTGAATCACTGTATACTATAAAGACCTGAAGTTGCACCTAATACTGAATTTGCAGTAGCCTACCAGTCCTTGTGTTATTTTTATCTGATCTGTTCCTACATGATTGTATTGTATCATTTAAAGTACAGCACATTACAAGCTGACCAACTTGTTTGTTGGTGTATTGTTAAAATAATTTTTTTAAACAGCATCCAGGTGGATCATGTTTGAGCCCACACAGTATAAAACAGGATGCGTGTTGTTGGTGCTGAATTCAGCTGGAGCCCACTCCTATAAAACGCGCGGACTTCAATAACTTGAGGTGATTAAAAGGCTCTGTCATTATTCTTTCACTCGTTAAGACGGCTTCTCGGATTTCAAGTGTCTCCTTTTACACTCCTGAAACGCCACATTCATCATGGGACCGGGCTGAAGTTTTATTGCGGCCGCTAGAGGTGGATGAAAAAACAAAAGTTGAGTGTGGGATGGACTCAGAGGGCAACTAGCCCCAATACACTGACCGTGGGGGTGGAGAGGTGGAGAAGAAAAATGCGAGCCGGGGCATAAGTCGCTCCTCTGCTCATTTTTGACTCAGATCAACACATTTCATCCACTGGAAACTCCGGGTTATCCCTCGACGTTATGGGCGTACCTACATGTTTTTGCATCAGAGAGGAGTAAGGTGAGGGGACGGGGTCACAGCTCCATAAATACTTGCTGTGGCTTTGGATGGACCCTGGAGGAGTAAATACTGCTGGAGGAGCCCCGCACACAGGAGAGGAGCGGCGACTTTTCTGCAAGCTGATACCTCATTTGTAGAAGGGCTGACCGGTACAAAGCCCCCTCAGTTACCACCGCCAAAGTTGCGGTGCATCTGTCTGATATGGAAAGTCTATGATTGCGTATTGGCAGAGGTATAAATTATTTTATTCTTCCCACAGAGTGCGATGTAGTTCAACTTCACACCCCAGAGTGAACTACTTGTCAGGATGACAGCGCTTACACCTTTGAACCGTGCTGTACTTGGACTTGCGTGGAGCTGCTTGAGTTTTCTGTCCTGCGCTCATTGCGGGTTAAGTGACAACCATGTGCACTCCAGTTTTATTTACAGGAGGTTGCGCAATCACGAACGCAGGGAGATCCAGAGAGAGATCCTCTCCATCCTGGGCTTGCCTCACCGCCCGAGGCCATTCTCTCCCGGGAAGCAGGCGTCCTCTGCGCCGCTCTTCATGCTCGACCTGTACAACGCCATGGCTGTGGAGGAGGAGGAGGTGGCTCAGCAGCAGGGCGCAGGGAAGAGCTTCAGTGCCAAGGCTCAGGGGCACTCCAGGAAGGGTTACTACAGCCCCCAGCATGCCGGGTACTCCCGTGTGGCACAGCCTTACCGCGCGGCCCCTCTGTTAGGCCACAGCCCCGCGGTCACCTCAGCACACGACACCAACTTTCTCAATGATGCCGACATGGTTATGAGTTTTGTCAATTTAGGTAAGTGGCATTAAAGGGATAATTTCTCACCAGTTTTCCTTAAATTACAATTAAGTAATTAATCTAGATTACAATGCAGGTGACGCCTGGTTTCAGTATTATTTAGAGGTGCTCAAGTTACAAAATCCACATCTCAAAGTAAAAGAAAAACTCCTTCTATAACTCGTGTTTGTTTTCATCTTCATTTCCTCAACTGTAAATTAAATTAACTACTAATTAAGTATAATTTTATATTATAAAGTTATTATGGCTGATTAACAATAAACTAATGTATAATAAGACTTTCACCTGTATTAGCTTTATCTGTGTACTGGATGAAAAGCCCAGTATTTTGTAGGCTACATGAAGTGTAAAGTTATAAACAACCAACTGCAGACAGCAACTATAAAATACTGCAGCATGAAAGTCTTTATCCATGCATTTCATGATTCAGGCCCATTTAAATTCATTAATATATTTATTTGCCTGTGTTTGTCAGCACATGCAGTTAATTCATTTAGTCAAAAATAATTAGACACATGTAGTTTGAGCTTATTTAAAAAAGAACAACAACAAAATTCCCCAAGTACATTTTCATTCATTTTCAGTCATCATCTGGCATCAGAGGTGTTCAGTTGCTTTAGCCTTGTGTGAAGTATTTTGTATTTAACAGAATTAGGCCCAACATTTTGACCCTATCAATTTGTGCTGCCTTCTTTTAAAAAGCAGCTGATCTGTATGATGATTGCGTTTGTTCAGTAGCAGGGACCCTTAACCCAGCAGATCAGAGCAACTTATCAGATGACTGTCTGACCTTGAGAAAATTGGTCTAAATTATTTCCTGTTGTTAAAGGGGGAGTGATATTGACTGATGCCTGTATATCTTGAGGTTCTGTCACTATGAGAAAGCAGTAGCTCCATTCTTCATATTTGTGTGATTTGTAGCTTTGATTGTTCTTTAAATGAGAGTTTAAATATTAAGCACGGCACATGAAAAGTTGCTCAAAAATGAAATATGACGCGGCATTGCAGAATCCTAAATAAACGATACAAAAATCACCATAAATAGACTTTACATAATGTCGGTATTTTAGTGTTAAGGATTTAATTTTCTTAAATATAGAGCAAAACATGTGAAAGTGAATTTGTGTAGAGTTGCTTGGAAGTATAATCCCTCACCTTGGCCTGAGCCCATCTGTTTCCACTTACCACTATACCAGGGCATGTACACTGTCAGCCTTGAAAGCTCTGCTCTCTTTCTGGGGACTGTCAGTGAAGTGTTCAATAGGGCTCTGTCTTTATTACAGTACACTCAAATATAGCTACTGACCTCAACTGTTTTAGAAACGTCTGTGACATTTCACGCACTTCAATATGCTTATTGTAACCATTTCAACTTTCAATATATGAATAAGAAGTCAGCTATTAAAAAATCCACATGAGATTAAATGCAACTGATGAAACACACCAGTTATTTATTCATCTTATTAACAAGATACAGATACTGTCCTGGTAGAACACTCTGAATCCAATTAATATGCAACTCATCAAGAATGCACACAGCTCGCCCTTACCAGAGAGTGAAGTCATTATTTAATCTTAGCTGTTTGAAAGTTAAATGCTGTATGCTCTCAGTGGCACTTCTGCTTCAGATTACTGCCTGTGGCTAATATAATGGAACACGCTCAGTGGGTACAAGTCAGACCTGACCTCTGACCTGTTTGTGCTAAGTAACCACAGGCGTTCTCTCTCTCGATAAAATATCAGGGAAGTGCATTGCATGATATCACCATGGATGTCAGAAAATCTACTGACCTCAGCCACATTCAGCCTCTTTTCTGCTACCAGGCAGGGGTGTGAGACAGTTGGCGGGCACTTTTTAGTAGAATCAAAGTATCTTTTGTCAGCATGTTCATACTGTTGATACACTGAGGCTCTCTGGTGCTGATATTAAGGTCATTGCATTGAGGGGCTTTATTTTATCTACAAAAATAGACGCAAGACCTTGAAAAATCAAGCTGTACATATATTTAATTTATTTCCATGCAGCAAAATATAAAATAACGAGACATGTTATGAGTTTTTAAACATTTTCAAAAATGACAGGCCTAAAAAGATATCCAAAATTGCTCAGTATATTAGAAATACATTGCTTTAAAGGCTAACGGTCATTAAAGACTCTTAGTGCATTGTATGAAACCTACAGGAGGTCAATATAAGGTCAGAAATGAGGGCAGAGTAGATGCTCACATGGCGCTGAAGAATCCTGTCTGGTCTTTTCTCTCACTTGAGGAGCAGACGAAAGTGTCTTTAATTGAAATCAGCCTGTTTTTCTTAACTGACAGCCCATTCATCATGGCCAGAGAATGCAGTTAGGCACACAGTAGAGGGCCTGTCTGGGAACTGCTACCTGTATTCAGTTGACTGATTTAATGACCTGGAAAGTGCTTTTGTTGGTAGTCAAAATGTTTGGATTGGACTTGGAATGTAAAAGAAGATGTGATAAATTACTCTTTTTCTGTGCGTTAATGCCGGCATATTTTTTCTTCTGAGCAACACACGCAGTGGTTCAGGAGTTGAAGTCATATTTTTTGATCGTGAAAGCTTTGCTGCCAGTGAAAATGAATTTCATCATGAAATATTTTCTTTCCCAGTGGAGAAAGACAAAGATTTTTCTCACCAACGAAGACACTACAAGGAGTTCCGCTTTGATCTGACTCAGATCCCGGACGGAGAGGCAGTGACTGCTGCAGAGTTTCGGATCTATAAGGACCGCAGTCATGTGCGCTACGACAATATTACTCTGAAGGTTTCCATATATCAAGTCATCAAAGAATATCAAAACAAGTAAGTACCTAATCAAGTAAACCAACCATACAAGTCAGTGTCTAAATACATTTATTCAACATTTATTCAAGTACTTAAGTACAATTTCGAGGTAACTGCACACTTTTTTAGTGTATTTTAGAGTATTTCAATTTTCTGCTCCTTTATACTTCTACGCCAAACAATTTCAGATGCAAATATTGTATTTTTACACTACATTTATCTGTAGACAGATATAGTTACTAGTTACTTTGCGTACAAAATATATGACCAGCTTACAAAAAAGAATGCATTTGCTCTACCTACATTTGACATAAAATTAATCTAGCCTCATATAATCAGTCCCAGAGGAGGAAAAAAGAATATAGGCTGAGGGCCTGCAAACGTCATTCTCTTTGCAATTCGAGAAAGAAAGAAAATCGATAGAAAGAAAACAAAAATAACTGTTCACTGTAATAAAGGTAAAAGTAAACAAATGTGCTCAATGCAGTTATCCTGTGTCACAGTTAAAAAGACAAATAGTCCAACAGCTATTGTCTTGTGAGGTTGAAACTTTCCACTCACATAGAAAGCCCTTGTATCTCCAACCCTGTTCTCCTTCATTCGCACCATGTCTGCCTTACAAATATAGTTCTCGGATAAAGAGAACTCCATTAGCAAGTTGGCCACTTACGAAGCTTGGAAGGTTCATCAGTTATCACTCGTCTTGTGTTGCCTGCCAAGCTGTCCATGTCCCAGATGAAACCATGAGGGCCCGAAAGGGGCGGGGTGAGGGGGGAGAGCTCCCTTGGGTGCTCCCGTGGTCACTGTTATGCCCACCACCTGCCTGTCTTAACAATATTCCGGAAGTTTAAACCATCACATAGCTGAATGCACAAGGGTGTACTTAAAAGTAGGCCCACATTTGCTTGCCAAAAATGTGTGTGGGTGATTGAAGGGGAGATATGGCCCTCCTGGGCTTTGAAAAGGTCCAAGTCAATGGACTCTGCCATCTTAAAGGGGAAGACTGCTCAGTTTAAGTTTTCACACACGTTTTCATGGGGAATAGTATGTTTTAGTTAGTGTTCACAAAGGACAACTCTTTCCCAATGCGAGAAATCTTAGAAACAATGTTATGCTTAAAAAGCCATAAGGATTTCACATTATATGAGTACTACTGGTTTGTAAAGCCATACTAGTTAATTTATGTTTTTCTTCAACATATCAGACAGAATGTTAATACTGTATACGCATATTGGTCACTACTAATGATTTTCAGTTGGGTATTATCCCAAAATCCACGTGTGCGCTAACTAAAGTATGGTCAAGTTATGGTTTAAGAAATAAATTAAAACCACTTTGTAGGGGCGTCTTAAGGGTTTAAGATAGCGACCATGTACTTTAATAGCAACATCCCCAGTTCAAGTGCAATACTTTAAAATCATGTTTTTAGGGTTAAGTAAAGGCTGTAGTCAATGTTAAATAAGTAAATCTAGTACAAGCTACTATTTTGAGTATGAAACTTGAATTTGAGATGCTGGTTTCAAAGGTATCCTGTAAAGTGTTTTTCTTAACAAAGTTATTTTATTATTGTCATTTTATTAAATTTATGTTATTATTGTTGTTAATATGTTATTTTAAACCATGTGCAAAGCCAATTTTTGGTAGAATTTGAAACCTCCAGGGTTTACATATATACATATTTGCTTGATAGCAGTTTTATTTTTCTCTGTCTTTGTTGGCACATTGCAAAACCTTTTGGTATTTTACTGCCACTAACTATCAATTGGGGAAACATTGTCCTTGTGTACACGACCGGAACAGGATACTAACAAACTGAGGACCTCTTAAAAACATATTGCTTCATATCGCTTCACTACCAGTGGTCAAAAACTCCACAGGGTACCTTTAAAGTCAGGCAATTACGCACAAACCCGACCTCCTTTTACTCCACTATTTCAATGTCACACTACGTCCTGCACTGGTGCTGAACTTTGCTACTGAACATAAATTCCTAATAGAGAATAGTGGCATATGAACATAACTTGCAGGAGACAGACTTGCCTAAAAAGAGGAGTTACGTCTATCCATGGTATTGACTCACTTTAACTCACTCTGTGGAACAGTACATCCAGTAATCACGGGATAAACAATTTCCTCCAGGATATAAGTTTAATATTTTACATTTAAAGGAGGAAGTTCACCAGCATGTCACTCATAAGGATTGAACTCATGTGGAATTCCACAAGAGGTTGGGTTTTATTACACCTGTAATAAACACATGAATAATTCCTGAACTATTGGGGCCACATGGAAAATCTTGGTTCTCGCCGACCAGCACCATGTAACCACAAAAACTGAACAGGCGCTGCCTTATCCGATCTGCCACTTGAAAGGAATCCAATGCAAATTGCGAAGCGGTCCTTTTTCAACTTAGGGTTGATAGATGCCTTATGTCAGGCTCATGTTAAAAATACACGAGGGATGATATACACGATTCATAACTCCTGAAGTGTTTTGCTAATCAAATAACTGAAATCTTGGCACACCTTTCACTACGAAACACTGCAGTTTATTACTGGTCACAGCTTCTTCAACAATAACGCAGCTGCTTTCTTTTTTTTTTTCTCCAGTACAAAGCTGGCAAACAAAAATGACCCAATCACTGTTACCAAATCAGTTTTCAACAATGAAGGCATTTGGTTTCAAAAGGATAAAGATATGAAGAAACAAAAAAAGCCACTTAAGATTTTGGCTACTACAGTTTGGGCTAAACCATCCATTTATGATCAGTCAGTGATACCTCGTTTATCTGTTCCAGTCTAACTGGTTAATACCTCTCGGGTTCAGTCTAAATGCTCTCAAAGAAGCATGAGGTTTCTTTTTTGTGTCCCATTAAAGCTGTGCAACATTAAGGTGCACATACAGTTTTTATTTGTTCTAGAGCTTAATGCACTGTAACAGGCACTGAGGTTCTGTAATTTGTACATTCATTTCGCCATCTGTTTGACCTCTGAGACGCAGAGGTAATAATCTGGAAAACCAACATGCCAACAGGGGAAAAAAATTAAGCTAATTTTCACTGGATATATGTTAAATAATCAGAAGACATAATGTGTCTTTCTGTTGTGTAATGCACTTGCTGCTTTCTTGTGTGTCCTGGCAGTTTGAGTATGCATTCTTTTAACTGAAGTTTATTTAATGCTGATGATTGTTTCATTGTTTTTTTCTTACCTTCAGAGATGCAGAGACGTTCTTGCTCGACTCCAAAAAGGTCCAAGCATCTGATGGGGGCTGGCTAGTGTTTGACATCACGGCCACCAGTAACCACTGGGTGATGAACCCACAGCAGAACTTGGGCCTGCAGCTCTGTGTGGAGACTGTAGATGGCAAGTGAAGTTCAGTTTTCAGCTCAGTCTGATTGTCATTACTTACCACCGGTAAATGGCCATAAAGATGAATGGCTTGACCTAGTATTTGTATAAGTGCTGAACTTCAATTTCACCTTGAAAGCCATAAAGCCAAGTCATAAAATGATAAAACATCCCATTTTTCTTTAGTTTTATTTTGAAAGTTTTATTTACCTTCTGTTTTTTAAAGGACGAAGTATCAACATAAAATCTGCTGGAATCATTGGGAGGAACGGGCCCCAGTCCAAACAGCCATTCCTGGTTGCTTTCTTCAAGGCCAGTGGGGTGTTGCTTCGCTCTGTCAGAGCTGCTGGTGGGAAAAAAAAGAACCACAATCGCAATAAATCTACTAATCAACACGAATCATCTAGGGCACCAAAAACTGGAGGTATGTGCGCTTTTATGATGTAGTTAAGATGCTACTTAATTTTTTACAGTTTCTTTTATCCTATACATTAGATCCATTTGAACTAAATAATTTTGTCCTGCTAAAATTCCAACAGACATCATCCATTTGTCAGACTAACCAACTTAATTTCCTGCAGCAATATACCTCCACAATTACCGGACAGATTGGCAGGAAAAAATCATTTCAAATATGCATATTCATGGTCTCTGGGCGATGACACCTAATCATTTTATTTCTTGTCAGTTCACAGTTTTGACAAGAAATATGTGTATATTCTCTACATAATAAGCTAATTGCCATGTAATTTGCTTAGCACCTTCCTCAATGATCCCGTAAGGATGAAACCTTTTGATTTTCTAACCTTATTCATTCCACTCCTTTGGTGCCAACCTCAGAACAAACCTTAACATTTTTAGATGATTTTTTAAATTCAGCATTCAGTTCTGATCTGCGTGCCAATTATATTAAACTAAATAATATAACTGTGAAGTACATGTCCTGTACATCTCATTAATCAATAATTATTTTAAGGAATAATTAATGACCTAGTAAAAGTTTGTTGATTATTACATTTGTCTTGGCTAATGTGCCTGTTGTATAGATTCATGACTCAGGGGAAAGGCCTGTAGCTCCCAAATCAAACATTTAATGAATCATCTATTGTTTCTTAATTGAAATGTTTTCAATTTATCACAATAATGTAATGATTAATAAGGCCCTATGGTGATATTTATAGACTATTTATGATGACTATTAATGTGATTTTATAGTGCATTTGATCAGGAGCTTTATAGACTTGTATGCCACCGTTGTGCTAACCTTGCTACGGTAAGCAAAGTAAAACATATATACAATCCTTACTTTCTGTTATGATTAATAACCTTTTTATTTTTCAGATTACAACACAAGTGAACACAAGCAAGCCTGCAAGAAGCACGAACTTTACGTCAGTTTTCGAGATTTGGGCTGGCAGGTATAACAAAATTATTTCATATCACAAGCCAAACAAACAGTAATAACACAATGAACAGCACCTTCCCATTGAGATTATAAGGCGACGCTAAGAAAACTCACCGTGTGTCGTAAATAACGGAAGCTCATTTTTTTGTCAAGGACTGGATCATTGCACCTGAGGGCTATGCTGCTTTTTACTGTGATGGTGAATGCTCTTTTCCACTCAACGCTCACATGAACGCAACAAATCATGCAATTGTGCAAACCCTGGTAAGTATTCTTTAGAGTATAATGCAATAAAATCATGTTATAAGCTACCATAATGTTCTTAGCAGTTACAATTCATTTGAAACCCACTGCTATTGCACCTCTTTTAAAACCTACTTTATGCTCTCATTTTTAGGTCCATTTAATGTTTCCTGACAATGTGCCAAAACCATGCTGTGCCCCAACCAAGCTCAACGCAATATCAGTACTTTACTTTGATGACAGCTCAAACGTTATCCTCAAGAAATATAGAAATATGGTAGTTAGGTCTTGTGGTTGCCATTAGTGGCCAGGCTAACTTTAATTTATGCTATCTATCTGGTATGGGAATCGCTGGAAAGCACATCTGTTGCAGGTGTGATGTGATGTACAGTATTATGTATATAAAGTTGTATTACCTAATTTATTTTCTTTTAAAAAAATAGCACTGAATATTGCAATATTTAAATGATTAGGACATGTTGATTTTATTTTACGTCAGTTATTACCTAACTTTTGTGTCCGTTGGCATATACTCTCTCTTATATACGTCTGTATGACAACTTATATGAGTTAACTATTCACTGGAGTCATCATGATGCATAAGATCGCTTCCCCTTCTGCTTGTTTCTCCCCCACTTCTTACAGTACACTCTCTGAGCCATGTAGAATTATACTTGTAAGTCAGTATATGATTTGTTTTTCTTCAATGCTAATATTGCGTGACTAATACATATAGAATAATGTCACAAAATGCAGCATCACAAGTTATGTGATAAACAAGGGAATCCTCAAGGCGATGCTATTAGCACTAACATCACAACTTGAACAGGCTGTTGGACATATCTTAAATCAGATTGGATCACAGGGAGAGAAAAAAAGTGTGAGTGTTCTCTAATCTAAACCAAACTGCCCAAAGCTATTCTCAAGCTGTCACCATCTTTCAGCACTGATACTGTTTCACCTTTTCCAAGCCAGTTCTTTTTTTTAAAAGAGAGTGTCCTCAGAAGGGGATTATGTCAGTCTGGAATGAAACTCTTCCATAAACACTGTTTTCTCATTCCTCTGTGGACTTTGACATAGCGTCAAATGTCTTTGCACCACACTGATTCCAGCATATGTTTGGGGAAAGTATATCTTAATGTAGAGTGTTGTGTATTTTAATAAATGTACCACTTGAAAAACGCTTTATCTTTGGCTTTGCCTTTACTTGACCTCGCAGCTTTTCTCGTTCCATTTATCATCCTAAACTATATGCAGAAATGCATTTCATCTTGGAGACTTTTTACCCCCCTCCAGCTGAAAGTCCTCCAGCCTTTTCAAATTCAAGTTGTCCTTTTGTATTTCTGTTTAGAGCTCTGTGGATGTTTTACACACTGTTGCCGGACTACCGTCTCAGACTTATAAATGTTTGACAAGTATGATATAAACTAGGGGTCCACCCACGGAGCCTGCTGACATGCTCTTGGGGAGTGGTAATGCTAGTGGTACAGGGCGCTAGCGGTAAAGCAGTGGCTGTGATCTCCAAAGACAGCCCAAAAGGGTGAATATCATGAAGCTGCCATCAGAGAAAGGTATATCATTTTGTAAGCAATCCCTTCCTGATTAAGGGGAAAGATACCATGAATCATGTGATTTATGCGATGTGTGTGGCACCTCCCTGCTTGCTTGTGTTCTGTACACTCGTATTTTGGATGTTGCCATCTGCTAAGAGCTAAGATTCACCCCAGGAAACAAAGTGGAGACCATAACTAAACTGGCCGACTGTTGGTGTATTTCCTCTTCATTCATGATAATCAGAATTTCCAGGAAAGCGCAAGTGAACGTGTTATGTCCAGAGAAGTACTCTGGTTATGCACGTATTTTCAATGCTCTTGGAAATCTAGGGATTAGGTTAAGGATTAATATTTATTTACACAACTGTGTTGACCTTGACTGAACACAGGATATGTACTGTTGCACTCTTTCTCCCCCTACCCTCCCACTTGTATAAAAAAAAATTTCCCTCTCTGACATGGCAGAACATTGAGTGACTGTATTTCACTTAATTAAAAGCAGTGGCTGGCCTGCCCAGATGTTATGTGGGCTCCATCTAAAAGGAGTGTTGACATTCAGTGAATAGAAGAGGCCACCTGCTAACTTAACTCTTGGCTTGAGGGGTGATTTGCATTCCTGCGGCCTGTTGCCTGGCATGATTACTCCTAGCACTTCACAATCCCATCTACTGTTTAATATCATGGATTTTTTTCCAATTCAGCTACATTTCTTCCTTTTCTGTAACGCAGGAGCTGCTATGAATGAGCACCTATTTAAGTTATCCCAAACTACGCAGCCCTCTCGACAGCAACCTCCTGACCACATAAAAGGGAAGGGCAACAATTGCCATACTCAGGACAGATTAATATAGTGGCCTCTTCTCCTCTGAGACCCCCGTGGTCAAAAACAGACTGCAGTGAGTGAGCGGGGCCTTGACATTCATCAGATCAGCACTTCCAGTGGCCACTTCTGAAACATGCTGGAAAAAGGTCACAACCCATTGCAGTTTACTTTTCATGAAGGGTTTCTCGTGAATTATTCATGCATCATGCTCTCAGGTTTACAGCATATGTCACAACATACTGTGGGCTTTACATAAATATAGTTACATAATGTCTGGATGTGTTTCCATATTACGTTTTTTATCTGCCACAAACAAGTTATTCTCTGAACCTGATTGAGAAAACAGACGTGTCCATGCAAGTGGCTGTTAAGGAGATGTTCTTTTGTTCGGCAAATGTGATCATCTTGAAGCTCTTAGCAGTCCGGGACTGGCTGTCTGTCAGAAGTCACGAATGCTTGATGATTCAGGTCATTTTTTATCTAATCTAAACCATCACCAGCAGGAAATATGTTGACAAATGCTGCAAAACAAAAACAAAAAGCTAATCTTGTCAGACCACCGACAGAAGTGTTCGTGCTGGAGGCCACTCGGAGATGTCCTCGCAGATTAAATCACAGGAGCTGCAATGTTTTGTAGTCTGTTTTCTTTCTGTTTCAATTATGATTAAATCCCACTTTTAGTGGAGCCGTGCCTCAGTCATCCATATTAAAGAGTCTATAAACTTCTAAGAGTCAAAGTAGCTCAAGATAATTAGCAACAGTTTCTAAGTATGTGAAAGCATGCAACAAAAGAAATATTGAAAGGGAAAACTATCTTTTCCTTATGGACAACCAAGAATAAAAACTGTATGTCAGTGACTCCTAAACCTCTTTAAAGCTTCCCACCACTTACTTTTAATTCCCTATAATGATTTATTTATAGTGTATTCAAAGTATTTTCAGTAGTTATTCATTTTGTAAACAAGGTTTGAGGGACATTTGTATTTGTAATGAAAATCAAACGTGGTCAGTAGTCCGTGAAAGAAAAGTTGGATTTTACACAAACATAGCCATAAACTGTGAAACTAAACATTTGTTCACAGTCTTAATGGAGTTCAATACGCCAAGTACTGTGAAGGCACACTTCTAGTTAAATGTTATATTTGCGCATTTGACTGTCTTTAATGTGCTCACTTACTGGTACAGTCGGCTCATATACACGCAGGTTAGATGACTGACATGATGCTTATTTGGATCACATTTTGGTCAATCTCATACAACTACAAAACATAACAGTTATTGTTCATTTGGTTTGGTAATTCCATGTTTCATCGATTTACCCTCTGTTAACCAGGGGTCTTTTTCTTCCTGTGCCTCAACGTTTATTTTCAAAGTGTCACCTTGCAGTCCATCCACAAGGCAAGTGAAATTGTATCTAATAAAAATGTTGTGCAGTTTACCTAATTCATCTCCCCACATGTGGTTCTCCTTATTTGTATTCTGTGGGTGGGCTGCGGCTTCCATACAGCTCAATCAGTCCCTCTTGAGAAGGGAGACCATATGGGTCACATTTTTACATTTTGTTTGGTATGACAAGGCTGCAGCAAGACCAGCGAGGAATGTGTCCCGACAGAGGGCTACGCAGAAACACTGTTATGTTTGCTTGTTATTCGAATATGCACATTAGCTTCCCCAACCAGAGAAGAGAGGGTTTTGGGTTTGTGGACTCAACTGTCACTTCCCATTACCATTAGAGGCGGCACCTGTGCATTTAAAGCATTTCTATATTTTTAAATCATGTACTTTGAGTCCAAATTTGAAACGCTAATCAAAATGTATGGCTTGAATACTCTTTAGCTGTTCTTTTCTAAGACAATTTAATAAATAAACTCTCTGTTTACTTTGTATAACTATATCTGTATTTCAACGCAGTTGTTTTCAAGGTAAATCCTGGTTGGGTTTTTTTTTTTTAAATACATGCAGCATTTATAAAATATATTTTCCACAAGAATCCATAAAAACATGTGAGTCCTTAAAGATTGTTATGTGGGTTTGTCTCCGTATAGAAATAAAAAGCTTCTGACATGACATGCTAACAACGTCTGCTCTCTTCTTTTGGTGCAGGTTAGTTACATCCTCCTGTCACCAATCTATTGTACAATTTATGTCAAAGAATAAATAAAAAAATTAAAAAAAGGTTTAAAAGAAAAACACAAACCAAAGCAGATGCACAGGATATTAAGCAGGCCAAGGATGTCTCTAGCCTGTATTAATCATGCTGTTTTACATTATCACCACACTTTCAAACCAATGTTAAATATGCTGCCTACAGGGTACAACAGAGGGGTCTGGGCATATCTGGGCACAATTATGAACTAAGGAAAGAATGAAAGGCACAATTCACTCTGTAAAGGTAAATCTTTTCTATTAAAGCCTGCCGGTCTGTTGTTTTCAAAATGAAAAAACACAAAATTAATAAATAAATACTTAAATAATACATTTAAGGCAGTTAATCACCATCACTGTAATAGCCAAGGCTATTAAATGTATCTAGTAGTGTTTATACTGTAGACTGAATGTTTGCTCAGTAGAACTGCAACTACCACTGTGTCTCAGTAACCTGTCAGCTGATTAAAGAAAGACAATAGCACACCACTGACTATTTCAAAAAACCTCTTGATTCAAAAGCTCTCGGATGGTACTTAAAAGCCTCTTACAGTACATTACATATGTCCAAATGTCTAAATATTGCAACTTAACATTCTTTGGTTTTGGCTTAAACTGGGTGTATTTCTCCCATCATGAGTTGTTCAGAAATAAGAAAAAATATTTAAAATAATATAAATATAAATGTTAGCATTATCTAAAGGTTATTTTTCAGGTATTTTCTGTCTTAAATGCATGTTACACTACATGGCGTGTCAGGGAAAAGGGAGTATGGGAGGATGAAAAACAAAGGTTTTCCTGTGTCCCAGGCTGTGTATGGTGCTGTCAGCCATGCCGTGTTTCACTCTTACAGCGCAGGGTCATGTCCTTATCATCATTCTAGTATTTTCAAAACTTTTGGGTACCAAGTGAAATGATTTCATAGCACCAATTTTACCAGTTTGACACTATTTTGTCGAGGCAAATGGTGTTTAGGCAACACTGAGGGGTTTTGTCGAAAAGTTATAACGTTAGTTTTAACGTATACATATAATGTATTATAAAGTTACAAAATCTACAGAAAAAAGAAAAAAGCATCTAAGTATGTGTATCATAAGGTGTCGTATTTTTAGACTACTATCAAAACATTTCAAACGACACTCAACCCTACACCACAATGCGTTTAACTTGCAGGTTGATGCATATCTGTCTTGTCATCTTCTCACCACCATAAATATAATGAACAAAAAAATTCTACTGTACCAATTTAGAAAGCAAATAGAGATGTCAACAGCCACCACTTAACCCAGTTCATGCTGCTGTAAATTTTACTGTGAAATTCAATTTCTCTCCCACCAAGGATATGGATACACTGAAGGAAATTGCTATACTTTATGAGCCAGTCGGAGCAGTAATCCAGCCATGAAGTCCTCCACGGTACAATATAAAAACCTGCACAATAAATATCTGGCTGCTTAGAACCATCCGCTTGAAAGTATCTGTAACTAGCGCCTTTGTGAAGAAGAAATGAAGATATTGGCATGTCAGAATCAATGATATGATTATATTGCAGTGAATTGATTATTAACAAGTGAGGACTTATATGTATTTGATCACACAATAAAAATGGAGTAATGTTCATAACTCTGAACAGCGTTACTTTGAGGTACATGTGCAGAGTCTGAGAAATTGTATTTCATAAATCAGTGTTCAACAGTCAGGATCTTGTGTGGACACGACACACAGGTAAGTGGCTTCTGTGACTCTGCGGTGTGATTACTGCAAGGATAATCTTTAACACACATGCTGTCTCTACGGGGAGCTGTGGAAAGTTGGCTCAGAGTGGCCCAGCCTTGCTGAAGAAACTGTAAGGTAGGCTGCTATTTTTATAAAGGCTTTACATTTGGAAGTGTTTGTGGTCGTTTTGTTACTTGTTATATAGCTGAATGTAATGGAAATGAGATGGGGTGGTACCTTTCCTTACACAAGAGCAAGAGAATTATATATACGTTCATTCTTTGCTCTTTTTGTGCAGCATGTCTTATGCATAATTCAGTCGCAATCATACACCATCAAGTGGTCCGTCGCTGTAGGACTGGGTGTAATTATTCTAACTACATATTCAACAAACCCTTACACCTTCTCCGGGTATGAAAGACAATGTCGTGATTATTGCTTTCAGGGTGATGACGGTGCAGTATTCGTTCAGCACCAGGACTCTCTTGTTGTTACAATCCAGTTAAATCCATGATGTAGAAATTGAAGACGGATGGAGGATGAAAATTGATTTAATCTGGTTCCTGTTTTCTTTCTTCCACTTTGTTTTCAGTATATATCTGAGAGCTTAAAACCCCTTTCATGCCATGCCGAAACCTGTACTCCATAAAGTACTGTTTTTCACATCTGTTTCTTTCTTAGCACAAAAAAGAGAATAGTCTCTTTCTTTTATATGCAACTCTTTCCAGTTCAGAACATGTGACATTGCACTGTTTGATTTTTATTTAATAATTTGAGGCATTCATCATCTGCTTGGTCTCCAAAATCCTCATGTGTAAAATATATTGTTCTCAGGAGCTTACAAGCTAGCACAGAGACATCCTTTTTCCTGTCAAGGCGTATCCGTTTGCCTAATCTACACAAACATAAAGAGTATTGTCCCTTTACAGAGTTTAACCTAGAAGGAGACATCTTTATGTTTGTGCAGTTGTTATTTCTTAGTTGCCTGATAATTAGACTGAATTGCCATTTTGTTTTACTTATTTAGAGTTTTATTCTACTCTGTTTTTGCTGAACAAACACAAACACTGTTACTCTTATACCATATAAATGCATGTACTACAGAAAAAGCTTAATGTCAATGTTTCACATATTCGCGTTAGCTTGAAACCACCTCCAACTTTTAATATTCCTCTGTTTTCTTAGTAAGAAAGCTATATTTCATCTTCTTACATATGTCAGAAGACCTGTTCTATAGAACTATTTTTTGTAAAATGTCAACTCCTCCTTTTCTTCCACACCTTCTAAAAACTTTAAAGCTTCCACTCACCTGCATCCCATTGATTCAGGAAATCCCCTGAAGGCCAAGTGACCCTTTGCAGCTGGTATTTGTCAAGATAGACCGAAGCTGCCGAGTTTCCTTGAAAGTAGAAATTTTGAAAGGTCAGTTAGGGTTAATCGACTTATGCAGTTATCATTGACTGAAAAAGAGACATTTAGAAGGCAACTCTTCCTTGAGGTGAGTCGTGATTTTTCTGACTATAGACAGCAAATACAAATGATGAATTACATTTGCTATGGTGATAAGGATACAGATTTTTCAACCTTATTTTGTGTTATTATAAGTAATTGTCACATTATAATTAACATATTTATTTAAAAGATTCTGCATACACTATACATAATGTACCCAACAGTGTGCTCCATGGTAGCCCACCTATTATAGAAATGATTTGCACTAATTTAGTGCTTCTACAAAATGAGCTCTTCATTATTTACAGGCACTGATGCGTTTAAAGCACTGATTTACACACATCTGAAAAGAATGTAAAGCCCAATAAACCACTAAAACCATGATATTATTTCAAATGAATTAATTATTATTTTCAGAAAAATATAACTACTACAGAAATCCCCTTTATTGATTTTTGGCAAAACCAGACCAGCACTGATTTGGTCTAATGTAAAAAGTAAATACTTAAAAATTCAACTATGAATGCTTCTGCGGTCCTTGCTTTTCTGTGCCTAAGAGGACCATGAATAAGTGATTAGAGGCGAAACACCAAAAGGCATTTTAAATTTTAGGGGGTGGCAACTGATAGACATCAACCTTGAAGTCTGCTACAAAAAAGGCTTTTTCAGGGCTGATCATATGAGTCGCCCTCCTCCCCTGAGAGAGGCAGAGGTCTCTCATCACAGAGCAGTTTAGCGTGGTGAGATGGTTGAATGCTAGGACTTCATTAAGCCCCTCTATTGTTAACATCTGGGTTCAGAAGAATGGCTCTTTCTCTGGTAAATGTTGCCCTGGCTTAACAAGGGATTTTATTACACCATGCAGTTGACATTGGCAGCAGTGTCACGTCTGGCAATGGAAACCCCTCAACTGTTTAGGTCACAGGAGATCAATCAAAGCAGCCTGGTTCCCTGAAGTATTCTCACTAGAACGGGGAGTTGAATGTGCATCTAATCTTGTTGTTGCATCAAAATATAAAACATAAGCTGCGAGAACACTGGTTAAAATGCTTTCACTGTGAACAAAGCAGTCAGTACTGGGTCTGTTTATAAATCATTAGGAGCCGATTAGCAGTTGTACAAACTTCTTCTTTCTATATTTTTTCTGTCCTGCACCTGCATTCTTTTTTGGGGGGAGATTCACATATCATTGCATTTTCCTCAAAATGCTTCCACAAGAATTCCCAGTGTAAAGTTATAGCTCTAATTTCCCATATCGCTCCATTTGCCAATTTGCTTCACACCATTTCCTCTCTCTCTTTCTCTCTCTCTCTCTCTGTTTTGATCCCCTCCCTGGTAGGGATGCGGCTGCCAAGGCAACTGCTGAATCATCCTTCACCGCCTGCAGCTGTCCTCTGATGCAGCAAGGCCCTCCATCGTCCGGGCCTGCATTAGCATTTTGATCGGACGCTTCAATTTGCTTTATTAGTTGCAGCGGTCTGTGCAAGAGTTATTCTCGGAGGACACGGAGGTGCAGCGGGCTGAGCAGCAGCCTTTCGGATGGGTAACGTACCCACTACAGTGAAGCACTGCCTGAGCTATGAGCAACTCGTCCAGGACTATCCATGGCTGAAACGCTGGCTGCTAGAGGAGAAGGTGGGCGTAGTCGTTTTTGTTGTTTCAAATCTGCTGCACATGCTCTGCCACATGACTCTCTTATGACAGCGAGGCTGCACAACAGCCAACTAACGTTGTTGTTGACAGTTTTGATGCTGATTTTTTGTTATACTTTTACACATTACTGTAAATATGTATGGTAAATTGTTTCCTGAATCAGCTGAAAATGACAAAGATGCAGACTACATTATTCTCTTATGTGTTGTGTAAGTTAACGTTAGCTCCATTTAGGCTGCCTGCTGATTTGTTTAACTCACTGCAGGTGGACAAATAGGCTGCCCATAGTGGTTCTTTAACGTACATTCACATAACATTACTGTTACTCACTGACCACATAGCCCGATAAGCTTGTATTAAATATATTTGATATTTACAAATTATAAAATCACTCACGAGGCACCTCAGAAGTATAAAGTAGCATAAAATGTACTAGTAGCTTACATTAACTTACATTGCCTTTATCTTCTACTGTAAGGTTAAGCTAGTTTAGCTAACTGCTTAGCAACACAAGCTAGTGACTTAACGTTTGTTTAGTTGGTGAAGACAGTTTACGTCAAGACTCATATTTATTTCAGGAGTTGTTGGACATTAAGACAGAGTAAAAAATAACCGTGGATATAGAAGTTATTTGTCAGGTAGACAGAAAAACGACTCAAAATGAATGCTAATGTTGCTCCATAACTGCAGGATATGAAAGAAGGCACTGTATGCTAACGCGTTAGCCGTAACAGCTGAATACAGGTGCTGGTCATATAATTAAATTATCATCAAAAAGTTATTTCAGTAATTCCATTCAAAAAGTGAAACTTGTATAATGTATACATTCATTCCACACAGACTGATATATTTCAAGTGTTCATTCCTTTTAATTTTGATGATTATAACTGGCAACTAATGAAAATCCCAGATTCAGTACCTCAGAAAATTAGAATATTACTTAAGACCAATACAAAAAAAGGATAAAAAGTACGAACATGTACAGCACTCAATACTTAGTTGGGGCTCCTTTTGCCTGAATTACTGCAGCAATGTGGCGTGGCATGGAGTCGATCAGTCTGTGGCACTGCTCAGGTGTTATGAGAGCCCAGGTTGCTCTGATAGTGGCCTTCAGCTCTTCTGCATTGTTGGGTCTGGCGTATCGCATCTTCCTCTTCACAATACCCCATAGATTTTCTGTAGGGTTAAGGTCAGGCGAGTTTGCTGGCCAATTAAGAACAGGGATACCATGGTCCTTAAACCAGGTACTGGTAGCTTTGGCACTGTGTGCAGGTGCCAAGTCCTGTTGGAAAATGAATTCTGCATCTCCATAAAGTTGGTCAGCAGCAGAAAGCATGAAGTACTCTAAAACTTCCTGGTAGATCGCTGCGTTGAGCTTGGACCTCAAAAAACACAGTGGACCAACACCAGCAGATGACATGGCACCCCAAACCATCACTGACTGTGGAAACTTTACACTGGACTTCAAGCAGCGTGGATTCTGTGCCTCTCCTCTCTTCCTCCAGACTCTGGGACCTTGATTTCCAAAGGAAATGCAAAATTTACTTTCATCAGAGAACATAACTTTGGACCTCTCAGCATCAAGAGTGGCTTGACACAAGGAATGCGACAGCTGAAACCCATGTCTTGCATACGTCTGTGCGTGGTGGTTCATGAAGCACTGACTCCAGCTGCAGTCCACTCTTTGTGAATCTCCCCCACATTATTGAATGGGTTTTGTTTCACAATCCTCTCCAGGGTGCGGTTATCCCTATTGCTTGTACACTTTTTTTCTACCACATCTTTTCCTTCCCTTCGCGTCTCTGTTAATGTGCTTGGACACAGAGCTCTGTGAACAGCCAGCCTCTTTAGCAATGACCTTTTGTGTCTTGCCCTCCTTGTGCAAGGTGTCAGTGGTCGTCTTTTGGTCAGCTGTCAAGTCAGCAGTCTTCCCCATGATTGTGTAGCCTACAGAACTAGAGAGAGACCATTTAAAGGCCCTTGCAGGTGTTTTGAGTTAATTAGCTGATTAGAATGTGGCACCAGGTGTCTTCAATATTGAACCTTTTCACAATATTCTAATTTTCTGAGATACTGATTTGGGGGTTTTCATTAGTTGTCAGTTATAAACATCAAAATTAAAAGGAATGAACACTTGAAATATATCAGTCTGTGTGGAATGAATGTATACATTATATAGGTTTCACTTTTTGAATGGAATTACTGAAATAAATCAACTTTTTGATGATATTCTAATTATATGACCAGCACCTGTAAACTGTTACATCTGTTAGCTTGTTTTGTTTCTCTGCTCCCTAGTGGACAAAAACAGGATTAGATAGATTAATTTCGCAGTTGTTGGTGTTTTTAAATGTCACTCACTCAGTTTAAGAAGTTATTAGCTACTGCATATAAATGCTGTAATCTTTAATCACCGTTTGAGCTTTTTCTTTGAAATTACAAGGCTCAGACCAGAAAAATTCACACAATATCCCTTGTGGTTTGTGTGGAGTTACCCTTACCTTGTTTCCCAGTATTTTCTTACTTGCATCATACTTGCATAACAGGCTTATGTTTTGGTTCTCAGGTTTCATCTGGTTTTGAGGTAGACAGTTGTTCATGTTAGAACTAACATGTCCTGAACCATCCCAAGCCAAAAGGATGACTGACTGCTTGTGTTCAGTGTCCTGTTGAGTGGTATTGCTCTTTTTACTCTGTCTTCTGCTTCTCTTTGATATATTTCCAGCCCATTACAGGACATGAGTATCCAGAGTTTGTTAAAATAGTTGAAGTTGGGCCGAGAGATGGACTTCAAAATGAAAAGGTATACACTGTCATTTCAGTCACGAATCTCATTTATATTTATATGCATCCCTGTTTTGTATACTATACGTGACCATCCCAGGAATCCCCCATTTTTTCCTTTATCTTTCATGCATCAAACAATCCATAACATATGGTTTGTGTGCCATAATTGCCAGGAGCATATGTTTCAAATTTTCTTTGAAATTGAATAGGAAAGATGACACGGCTTCTGGCTTAGTTTACTCTGCCTAGCATGTCACTGCTTTATCATTTCCTTATTGCATGCCAGTAGTTTTACAGATTGTATGGGATGCATGGATAATTTTATTTACCACAATGTGTTATGAGGAATATAAGATTTCAAAATATTCAGCAAGTGCAAGATTCAGCATTTGAATGTAGGTATCAATGTGATTGTCAAGCTGCATAGCAAAAAGAGAAAAATCTACCATATATTCTCTGCTTGATGTACCTCCCATCTTGAGTGGAATCAAATCCAGAAAGAGCTGTTTCAGTTTCATTGTTCCCCAGGAAATTGTTCCGACAGGGGTGAAAATCCAGCTGATAGACATGCTCTCAGGAACAGGCCTGCCTGTGATCGAGGCCACCAGCTTTGTCTCTTCAAAGTGGGTACCGCAGGTAATAACTCTTCTTTGTGCACAGCAAAAGAGTGTTGAGTGATTTATTAGGCTCTCTTTCTTGTCTGCACAAACCTGCTCCTCTAGCACCCTTGGTGTGTGTGTGTGTGTGTGTGTGTGTGTGTTTGTATATATATATATATATATATATATATATATATAATTCCTGTCATAAACTGAATTTCTATATACTTCCTGAAAAAGCAAACATTAAAACGTCATATGTTCTGTTTATACTGAGAAATATGACATGAAAAAGTAATGCTGTTGTTTATTTATTATCTGCTGCCTTCAGACATGTGAAAACATTTATGCAGGTTGATGTATACTCTGGAACATGTTGAGATGATGTTAGAGGTTTATTTTTCGACGTCATATGTTTTGCCCCTCTTCATTTAGATGGCAGACCACACTGATGTCCTCAGAGGAATCCAGAGAGCACCTCATGTTCGTTACCCTGTTTTGACACCCAACATGCAAGGCTTCCAGGATGCTGTAAGCATTCATTTTCAATTCAGCACAGCGATCTCTGCTATAAACCACAACCACTTACCCATGCTTGTCAATTTGAGTTAACTGTTTGGCGCTATGTCCTTTTTTGCCACATAATTCCTACACTTACATAAGTGTGACTCCAACACAGCGTTCAAAACTGTTTTACAAGTTAATTTTTCTCTTCTCTTTTAAGGTTGCAGCTGGTGCTACTGAGGTGGCGGTGTTTGGGTCAGCGTCTGAAACCTTCAGTAAAAAGAATATTAACTGCTCTATTGATGAAAGCATGCAGAGGTTTGAAGAAGTCATTAACGCTGCCAAAGAGCAACAAATTCCAGTCCGCGGGTTAGTACTCTGGATATTAATTGTCACTCACAATGAGTAAAAACACATATGTCTTAGGCTACCCACTTTCTGATTTTATGCTGATTATCACATTTGTTTTTTACTCCAAATGAAAACAGTGGGAAATACTGCAGTTTCTATATGTAGGAGAAAACACACACTTCAGTAATGATACCTTATAGCAAACTCCCAGATGTTCACCAAGTTATATCTATGCATTAGTAGACCACAAGTCCAGATGGACATTAAAGCAAACCAAACAGGGTCAGTGACTGAATATAGTTAGCCTTTTGTTATACATGGAAAAGCAGGCCACTGCGAGTGTAACATTTTCTTAGATTAGGCTACATGAACCTCTCTGTCCAAAAAGAGATAAATACATAAAAAATAGAGGGGACTAACAATGGCATTTTTTAAGTGCCAAATACTGTTTGATAATTAACAAATGGCAATGATCTGGATCACCACCAAAATCCAATCACAGATCTGTTACCAAATCTCATGGATATATTTTTTGTATCTCACTGATAAACATCATGTTATATCAACACATTCAAATTCTCACAGAAGTTGTCCTCTTTCAGATATGTTTCCTGTGCCCTTGGATGCCCCCACGAGGGACACATTGAGCCTTCCAAAGTTGCTGAGGTTAGACAGACCTTTGCGGTTCCTGAAACATTCAGTAGAGAAAACATTAATGATTCATTTGAAATGATATGCATATTAGAAAACAGGTGAAGTGAGTAACACTGATTATCTCGTTACCATGGCACCTGTCATTGGGTGGGATATATTAGGCAGCAGGTGAACATTGTGTCCTTAAAGTTGATGTGTTAGAAGCAGAAAAAAATGGCCAAGTGTAGGGATTTAAGTGACTTTGACAAGGGCGAAGTTATAATAGCTGAACGATGGTTTATGGATGCAAATGGGGAGCGAAGCCTGATTCAACAGACGAGCAGCGCCACAGAACTTAAAGGATCTGCTGCTAACCTTTTGGTTTCAGAAACCACAGCACACCTTTAGAGGTCTAGTGGAGTCGATGTCTCTGCGGGTCAGAGCTGTTTTGGCAGCAAAAGGGGCACCTACACAATATTAGGCAGTTGGTCATAATGTTATGGCTGCTATGTATTTTTTTCTTAGTAATCTGTCATTTTGGAATACATTTTTCCTCAGTTTTCACATGCAATAAATTTATAAGATGACTTTCATTTCATGAAACTACAGGAAAGCAGGGTGTTATCTCAGCAGCATATGTAATAGTCTGGGGATAGGGTGGTGTGTGTTTTTTTGTTTTCAAGTTTTGGAAAAATATGTTTAAGCTAAAGAATTCACTCCTGTGTTTATTGTCAGTTTATTATTATGGCTTGCTGCAGACAGAGCTAGGTGTTGTTTTTTTGTTTAATAAAGCATTTTACCATATTTTCACTATTTTTTAGGTGGCAAAGAGGTTATATGAAATGGGCTGTTATGAGATTTCCTTGGGGGATACCATCGGTGTTGGTACTCCAGGTTCCATGTTTAAGATGCTGCTGAGTGTAATGAAGGAGGTACCCACCAACGCTGTAGCAGTTCACTGCCATGACACTTACGGGCAAGCACTGCCCAACATCCTTACTGCACTTAAGGTAAGAACTCATAAAACAAAACAAAAACCCAAACAAACCAACAACAACAACAAAAAAAACAAAAAAACAAAATATATATAGTGTTGGTAATAAGCTCTTAATCTTTCAGTTAAAGGGACTATATGTAAGTTTTTCTATGAAATTAATAAAATTTTCATTGCCTTATTGTCAATGGGCTCAAAACTCACTTGGAAGCACACGCCTGTTTTCTCTGTTACTTGCATCAGCCACTATTCTGCTTTTAATGTGGGGACTCCGGGTCGGATTCAGCCCTGTGCGCGCTCCCGAGCCTCTCTGGTACTACAGCGACAACACGGTAGCTAATGACGTGCAGTCCACTAACACCATCAAACAACCATCTCACAGCAAAACACAGGCTCCACGTAAGGATACAAAACAATAAAGTTTTATGTGCTGAACCCCATCAGATTAAACGGGTTCAGATGATGTCAAGTAAGAACACAGTGAGCATTAGTAAAGCTGGAGAAACACAGAGAAAGTCACGTTAGCTCACCGGTTAACGCAGAGCAGTTGCTAATGTTATCCGGTGCAAAGTTATATCGCTTTCCACATTACTTCACCAACTAACGCAACCCATGTTACTGTTCTGTGTACCACTGTTGATTTAGCCTGCAAGAAAGGATATAATGGTAAAAAGCAAATGGTGAGCGATTTGTTTACTAACGTTAGCCTATAGTGATGCAGCCAGAAGCAGCCAGCTAACACTATACTAGCTCGGACCTGCCTCTGTTTGCTTCGTAACGTTCAGTTTAGGATTATTGTGGTTTTACCAATACTCAGGTTCATAGCTTCTCCACCTCGCTGTAACTAACGTGACCCACAATAATATACAACACTGCAACTTCACATCGACAACAACCCAGAGGAAGAGCCATGCACTAACACTACAGTACTGCGGTCTTATTATAAAGTGTGACACAATCTCGTTATAATATTCAGTCCAGCTCACTACCCGTTTCGTTATCATCCAATACATTTAGCTGTGCTGACATTGCTGAGCCTCTGGTGAAAGATACACAGATAGTAAAGATAGTTACCGAAAGCAGCAGGCGAGCTAAAGCTGTAGCACGTCGACTAAATGCAGTAAATGTACCGTGATCATCTAACAAGCATGGATTAGTTCAACCTGCAGCTGATAAAACTATTACTGTAACGTTGCAGTAGGGGTTTACCTGAGTTTCCACTATATTGTGTGAAGCTGTCTCCCTGCCTGTCTATAGCCGCTGTCACTCTGCCTTTTTTCCGGGAGGATTGTGCCGATATGCGGCTGGCTGCGCTGAATGAAGTAACGTTACGGAGCCGGTGTTGATCTGCCTCTGAGACGGGAACATTGAAGTAACAGAGCCTGAACATGTCTGAGTGAAAAGCCACAGCCTGCATGCTGGTGTTCCTGTGTTTATTGCAGGATTTCTGTATGAAAGTGGTTGTGTTTCGGGTTATGCTCGCTCATGAGTTCAAGCAAGCATGCGTACGAGCACACGCCTGGTAGCAATCTTAAAACCGCACCGCTATTGGCCTCTGGAAACTCCATAACGCCCCTTTAAGACTTAAGTACTGAATTTTATTGTTTTGACAAAAATATGATATTAATCAAACTATATATATCAAGAACATTCACTGCATTTTGTATAACTGCATCAACTTATTCAACTTTGACCCTCTGTACCGTCATTGTTGCACATGTAAGCAGTTTTATTATGTAAAGGATACACCCTTTATTTAAAAGAGGCCTTTAGACACAAAAGACATAAACCTCACCAATAAAAGCAAAAGAGAAAAACAAAGGTCAAGATATAATACATTTTAAAAAAGTAACAATCTATCCATTTCTCTGAAACAAATTGCGGTAAAGATTTGTAAATGCTGCTCTCTTTGTCAAGACTGTGCTGCCTTACTCTGTGTAAGAATTGCTCAAGGCACCTGGCATTTCTGGAAGTTCTTAAATTGAAAGTGGAACGGCTCCAAGACTGCTTCACAAGTTGGGTGGAGGGGCCTGTGAATTCTAGGAAACGACCAGAAAGGAGCTTGCCAATTCTCAAAAACTGGCAGACATCAAGCAGACATCTTTGAAAAATAGAGTGGAGGAGAGCCCTGACTTTTCTGCAAATTTGGTGAAGTAATGTGGGATCTCTGAAATTGAGAAAGATTTAAATATTCTCAGGTCTGGTCTCAGGCTCTGATAATTCTGGGAGGATAGGCATCAGCCACACGTCTCTTATGTGAAGAAAAATATGAAAAAAACATCCTGATCTTTGTGTGAGGGGTGTGAAAGGTTTTTTCTATAGAGGGCTTACTGGCATGGTTAGAAGAGGGGGGCAATTTACCTCAGAGTTGGAAGAGTAGATTTTCCTCTGTACAAGCACCAGACAGTGATGCATCATCCTCTTGATCTGCTCGTCCCCTCATGTTAAATTGTTTGACAGCTTTCTGCTTTTGCAGTGGCTTGGCGGGGATTCTTTGGGCACCTTCTCCTTCACATGCACATCCATTTTCTTCTGATGAACACGAACACTCCTGTGGAGAACCACAGGCCGATTATGGATAAATGCCCAGCCTTTGCATAAATCAATGTTGTTACTCATGATGACATGAAGACGAGCAACCAGATGTGGAGGCAAAGTTGAGGTGGTGATTCTTGTTCCAGGACATCTTTCAACTTCCTTAAGTAACTGCCAACATTGTGGAGATCACAAGTCTTTTCTAACTGCTTTAAATCATTATTCCTGCTGGGGATAATCATATGTTAAGCTGCTCCCAATCCATCTTTTTAGACAACTTTTGAGGCATACGTTACATTACATTCAATAATAGAATATTGTTTTCATTCTTACGAAGAGCGAAGGATAAGTAGTGGTTATTTTCCACTTGAATCAGGCAAAAGGAAGTTAAATTCCCTTAAAATCTTCCTTTAGGCTGATGGCTATTTATCTTGGCTATTTAAGGTTGTTTGAAATCATATCAAATTCACGTGTTTTAGAGCTTACAAGAATATAATCACACACAAATGTGTTCATCTAGTATAAATCTCAAAAACACTGTTCACATTCTCCACTTAAACAGATGCTGAAGTGTAAAACAATGTATTGCTGTCCAAATGTTTATGAAACTCCCTACAAACCCCATTCTGCCCTGAGCTTTAATGACATTGCGTCAGTTTACGACATTATAAACGTATCCTCTGTTTGGAGAGTAGTGAAAACGTATGAAACAAATGTGTAGGTTACAATGGGACACAGAGAAAACCAGGAACCATCAGTCAACAAGGAAGAGGGGCATTAAGAAACATGATCTAAGCCTCCCCACAAAGCAAGATGATTCACAAACTGCCCACTTGGAAAAAAAACCCCTCCCAGAATCTTAATGAACATAAGATATTTCCAAAGGGCCCTTCCATGACAGTCACATGTATTGTAGTGAAGAAAAAAACCCATCATGGACTATTGCAATAATGTACTCTGTTTCTACGCAGCTCACAAAAGTGTAATTAGGTTGTAAACCCCTGTGGAAGAGCTCGCGTCTGGGTGCTTTTTACCACTTTGCCCATAGCGAGTGTAAAACTGACATAACTCAAGACATAAAACAGAGGTAACGCAGATATGGCTGTATCAGTTCTCTGGAGCACATTGTCATTTCAGAGGAGGAAGCTCATTGGGGGCTGGGTGGGTCAGCAGATGTAAGGGGGTCAGCACAAAGGCTCACCTATTCACTGTCTGTTGGACAAAGCAAACTGAGAGCTAGGTGGATAGAAGGGCCCTGGGGGGCTCCTAACTCATCTGTCGCTTGGCTGTTGAACTCTCTGACAATGCTGTGCTTAAAGGCCAGTGGAAAATGATCCTTTCATTCGCTCGCTGCTCGAACACGTGATGAATGGCGCTGCAGCTGCATACACAACTCTATAAACTTTGGTAGAACTTGTAAATATCTGGTGTGGCAGAAGGTAATTATGTTTTGTGACTTTTAGTTTTAAAATTACTGCATAATTACTGTGGTAATGTAATTCATTTACAGTATCACCCAAGAATAACAAAGACCTAGTTTTAAGACCTGGAAACATAATTATCAAGAGTTACATGCCCGCCAAAGACAAATTACCCTAATATAATAGTGTTAAATACAATAACTAGGTACCATGTATGTAGCTGGTATATTTTCACATTATTTCCCTGATATTTTATTTATGAAATTGACAAAAGTTGGCCAGTTATTTCTTCTGGCTGTATTCTGTATACTATCCCATCAAATTTGATTACATGTTTATTTCCAAATAAATATTAACTTATGGATATGGTTCATAGTAGAGTATAATTGAGATATTTTCTAATTTCTGTAAATCTAAAACAACTGATGCATTGACATCTTTATTTAGATGTTTTCTGATGTTAAACAAATACTTTTGTTGAAACGTCAACTCTTGTCAGGACATATAACAGAGTAAAGCATTTATTTGAAGGAAATTATGGTTTGATTTACTCTGATATTGATGCTTTTCTCTTGGTTGTCAATGGTGCTAATCATCTGTAACACTGAAGAAAAGATCAGCAATGTCTATGTTAGCGCTGATTTTGGATGGCAGAGTGAAAAAGCGCAGAGGGACGGTAAAATTCCTCTGTGGATCATATTTAGAATGATTCAACACAGCTGCCCCCTGGCCACAGAAAATAATAGCAGCCGGGAATATTTAGCCTACCATTTGCTCACCCATAAACAAGATGGAAATGAAAGATTTTATCATAGTTTTTCATTACTGTGTGCCAGAAGTCCACACCACCAACTGGGAGAGAAATGAATTCCCCCAGCGCTGTCAGTCCTGAGTCACCTCTTTTGTTCCTGATAAAGACATTCCTCAGTCTTTGTACCTTTTTTCTTTTTTTTTTCAGGAGGTCTGGGAGGGGGGGCTTTGTTACAAACCTTCTCCTGGCAGGTCACACAATGACAACGTATGTACTTAGATTTCACAGGCTTGGCAAGGAAAATTATTTATTCTTACCTGCAATTTTGGTGTATTGTGTACTGCTGCAGCTGGGGGAATACAATATAACCGGTTTGTGCTCACGCTCAAGATCTCCGCTAAAAACAACATCCATCTTCAGTTTTTTTTCTTATGTCTCTGTCCACGTTAAACCACGACATGCTGTGCAGAGTCAATAAGTTTATTTTAGCAACTGTGTTGATTTTTGAACTTCAATACAGCTTTGTGTTGGCCTGATTTTATGTATTTCTTTAATTTATTGTTGGTGTGAGGTGATGATGTTATTATTGACATTTGCTGTATAACATTATTATCATATCATGATCTATATCATCAGCCATCATTGTGATCATCATAGTCATCATACTTTCCCTACTGTTACTTAGAAATCCAGTAATCAATAATTATACACTCTGCAGCTAAATAAACTATAATAGAATTAAATATTAAATGACAAATAATACATTTTATTTATAGAAACTGTTTTAAACACACATATTTTACAAAACAAACAAAAAGAGTGCATTCATACATTTAATTAAAAAAACTACATGTATGTAATATAATAATATTATCTAGGTTTGGTACTACATTTCATACTTTATTCATTTTGGTGTTAGGGACAACACATAATAATTAACATCAAGAAGATGTAAATGTATTGAAATTGGCCTTACAGTATAAGGCAAATATTCATCTGCAGCTCCTGGGCAGGTTGATGTTATACATTAAAGAGAAAAAAAAACTAGACTAGCAAGCAAACAAAACTGCATCAAAGCACATACAGTATAAGAGGAAACAACATAAATGGAAGGATATGTAATAAAAACCATTACAGAACAGATACATCAATTATTTATTTTTCATTAAACACCACAAGGTTTGTAGTCCCTTCTTTCTACACACATAGAACATAACATTTATTTATTTTAGATTATTGTCACATAAAAAATAAATAAAAACTATATCAGCCCATTCAGTTGTTATTATTATACAAATATACATACACATATAAATAATTGTGCAATGCGGTTTCAGAACCTTACAATAACCGACAAGCCCAAACATCACAAAGAACAACAAAAGTATCATCTTTCAGACAAATGCAAAGGACACATGAAGCAAACACCCACACACACACCTCTCTATATAAATGTAGTAAAAATATAAAATTGGTCAATAAGAATATGAAGAGGTGCATGTCTGTCTCCACAATCTGCACGTGTTAATGCCATTAATTATTTTTTCTACTATATTTTTATGGATCGTTTAAGGAGATTTATTTTTCTGTATTTTGGTGTAATAAAGTTAAATATGGTTTGATTTGATAGTATTCTTTACCTGTTACTGACCGCACACAGCTTTCACCTGAACATAAAGACTAGAAAGATTGTCATGGTTATCGATTGTTCCACTTTCATTAAAGTCAGTAATCTATGAAGACGTTGATGTGGATTGTGAATGACTTCATTGTATAGCTCAGAATTTTTCTATGCTCATATAAATCATGAAATAAAATAAAATTTATTTATTCTTTATGTGTTTGTTTTGTCTATCTCCTAGCTGCCCTCCAGTATCTTGGATGTTGCTTTTCAGTGGCGTGCTTATATGCGTTCTTGGAAGGTGATATATGTGTCAGTAGTGGATCTGTGACAGTTTCTTTCAGCTTCCCAGTTTATGTAGCAGTGGGTAAAGCCTCACCGCTTCGCAACCTTCAGTGAATACACACTCTCTGTTTTTGTCTCTCTGACGCAGTTATAAAACCCTAATGGGAGCGTGTCCATCTTCTGCCTTGTCCACTCAGAGTGTGGAATGTCAACTGGCTTATCCCAAATCATGCAAGTTTGAAAATGCACTGTGTCTTTACCCAAGAATGTATTGTTTTAATATGTCCACAGCTCACTGACTATGGCTTTTAACACTGAGTGCACATCTGGTTTCTGGGCAGTGTGAAGCTAACTGAGCATTTGCGAGCTTGAGCTGCTGACCACCAGTTCCTCTGCGATTAGTGTCCAGAGGAACAGGGCACGCTGCTGAAGGGTCCGTTTTGTTCCTCTCGGAAACAGTATGCCAAAGACCCCTGGCCTTGCGCGGTTAGCAGCTGAAAGCGAGAGGATTGGCATGGTAGATTACAACTCTGTGTTTATACTACAAAAAATTCTGCCTAGTACAATATCCTGCTCTGGCTTTAACCAAGGTCTGGAAATCTTGTGCACTGCACACACCGGAGTAGATCTCCTCCTCCTTCTACCCCACCTCCTCTTCTTCCCTTGCCAACACAAACAGCAATTACGGCTGGCGCAGACAGCAACTGAAAGAAGTAGATTCTTGTCTGGAGGAAAAGCAACCAATTAGGAGCATTGTTTAAAAAAAGGAAACAGAGATTAATTAACTTTTAATTTAGCTTGCTTGGTTCTGCTCCGTGGGGTGAAAGTCCTTCATGACCCGATGCCACTGAGGGGATTAGCGTGTTAATTTTGTCTCACAGTGGGATCCTCTGACATCTGGCTCTGCCACGGAAGCTGGAAAACATCTTTAATATTCTCATGACGATCCCAGGGACATGTGGAAAACATCCCGAGACCTTAGCCTGTAATGACTCTGAAAAAACTGAAGGTCTGGCTTTATCATTTTTTGGTGTGAAAACAAAGTTTACACATCCAAGAAGAGAAAATTCTTCTCTTTATGTAATACGTGCATTCAGAGAAATTGTAAATTAACCCTTCTTGCATCATTAACTCCCAAATAAAAGTAGTAACCTAACATTTCCCAAGCAACATTTTAAGGTGTTTTGTAATCTGTCCAACAAAAGCATTGAAAGAAAAATAAAAGAAACTGAAAACGCATCATTAAGTTTCATATGGAGGCCAGAGACTTGCTTGTTGTTTGCAGTAAAAGGAAAAAAAACAACCCAGAAAAGTTTTCCATAAAATATAACAATTATGTTGATTGTAAGAAGTCAATGAGCCAAACAAGCAAGCAAACAAAACAAATGTATCTCTTGCAGGTATAAATATTCTCACGTTTCTGCACAAAGACCACCAGAGGACAGGCACGTGTTTAACCAAGGTCATCAGTGAATTCATTTATGGCCTTAATGATTATTTGTGGCAACTGCACATTTGTGTAGTAAAGTTATAATTCCTGTATTGTTGGCCCTGCTGTAAAAGGACACCGTCCAGCCGAGGAAAAAATTTCTCCTCAGTGTGGCAAGAAAGTGAATCCCTATGGTTTAAGGGCAGCGTAGTGCTGTAAAAACATGAGTAACCAGGAGAATCAGAAACATATGAAATGATCTGTTCAGCATTTATAGTGTTCCTCTCATATGAACAAGGCCGTAATTATGTGGTGCTGGTGGTTTGAGCTGACAAAGAGGATGACTAAGCTGTACTGTGGGACATTCTGTGCCCACTCATCTTCAAGACATAAGCCCACAGTTCTCCTAAACAGCTGTAAAACACGACCGCAGCCCTGGCAAGGCGCGCTGCACTGGGCAGAACAATCCAACAGAACAAGGATCTTTGTTCCTGGATTTTAACCTGAGGTGAAGCCTGCGTGGAGGTACTGAATGTCTCTGTTGTGTGTCCTTGCAGATGGGGGTCTGTGTGGTGGATTCTGCAGTAGCTGGCCTGGGAGGTTGCCCGTACGCTCAGGGTTCATCTGGCAATGTTTCAACAGAGGATGTTCTCTACATGCTCCATGGCATGGGCATTGAAACTGTAAGTATATCTTCACAGTACACTTTTGACAGACCTGCTGTATTTTATGTCTGTATAATCCCAACAGATCAACCAAACTCATACAATCTCTGAGAGCTCACTTACATAAACAGATCACTGTGCAAACATATGGCTCTGTAAATGTTTATTTTATCAGTGGTTTTACACAACTTGCACAAGCCCCCAGTTTTGCATGCCTCCTATCAGGAACTATTTATTTAACAATTCCTACCCCTGCTGGTGGAATGTTGTCACCACAGTTTAGCTTTCTATCACCTGTTGCACACATCAATTTATACTCATGAGCAGCTTGCCTTTAAATTGACTCTTTGTAGACGTTGCATTTTAACTCTAACCTTTTTTTTCTTCTTTTTTGCAGGGGGTGAACCTTACCAAAGTTATAGAGGCTGGTGACTTTATCTGCAATGCTTTATGTCGCAAGACAAACTCCAAGGTTGGCCAGGCAAGAGGGCGTAGTGATGTGTTTCTGTAAAGGTACATATTTAAGTATTTGACTTTGTTCCCTCTAAAGTGCTTCCCTTGTTTTTGCTGTCTTCATATTTGTCGCCTATGCTTCTGTATTTGAAGTACGTTGTTCCTTATTCTAAACTGTCAAAGGGTATCTCTACCAATTTATCTCAAGAATAATCAACATTGTGTTTTGGTGTCCAAAAAGTTCAGCTCCTTTCAATTCATTTCCACAAATTGGAATCTGTTGGGACCAGAATGGTTATTATGATTGAGTGAATCATCCAGTTTGGCTTATTTTTTGCTCTGAATGGTAATACATTACAAAAGCACTGGCACATTGGCTTGAAAATAACTAGAGGCAGACAGAAGAGTATTCATTTGTGATAAATGTCCAGATTGATGACATGATAAGTGGTGAATACATATTGGCCTTTTTGAAGGCTGAATATCCACTTGTATTTTACCTTCTCATATTCATTTGGCTTTGCCAAATAAACCCAGTAAAGGTCAGTCACTTTTATTATTTTGCATAGCTCAGTGGCTTAGTAGTTTGCTTTGGCAACTTGCTGAATTTAACTTATCACTTCAGAAATATCTGCGGTGATCATCATTTGAATAAATAGAGAAGACAAACTGCAAAAAAAGAAAAAGCTCTTTCCTGCTTTTAAAACATGAAAAATTGCTTCATGCACTTTACTTCTCCAAAGACCTTTTCAGCTTTTCATACACATTCAGATCCTGTGAGTAGCAATTGAAAAGACGCTTCTGAAACTACCACAAAAATAACCATTTAAAAGCAATCTCAATTTCAGGTTTGCCAAAGATCATTTAAGAAGTTGTATTTCTTTTTTTTGCCATTTACAATGAAATAAGTTACTCTCTGGGAGGAACGTCTGTGTGAGTGTATAAGTCTAATGTTGATGTATTTTCTCATGTCTCTCCTGTCTGTTTACATCCCATTGTGCAATCTGTAAAACGTAATAAAATAGAAATGTTAAATGTGTGACACTGATTTTTAATGAGATTTTATCTCAAACAAGATGGTAATGAATAAACACTATATATTGTGCTTGAGAAAAATTAAATGAAAATGATCCATATGTTATCGTTGTCTCTGTCCTGTTCCTCGGGACTCAGGGTAACCCTAGTTTTCTATTCAGCTCGTTACTACAAGGTGATTACAATAGATAATGGCAATCATCTTATTAAATTTGTCTAATTAGAATGCGAGAGTGAAAGCTGGTCTTTTTTTAGAGGCTGGGAATTAGAATTTTGATGCACTATTTCTCACAGTGAGGTTTTGATTCAGACTAGGATGGAAATGAGCAATCGGTTTCCTCTTAAGACCCTAAAACAAATAACTGAAAGATGAGAAAAAGAGGATTTATGTATGATATAAAGACATGTAACTTTATACTGTATATAACATTACATAGCAATCCATTCAGCAGCTGTTGCTAAGTGAAGCAGGATTATTGGACCTAACCTCTCAGAACATCATCCTGTGGGAGTAAAAAGCAAAAGCAAAGATCTCAGCACCGCTGAAACCCTGCCGAGAAAACTAATGTGAGAGGAAGCACAAAGCCCTGAGAGACCTGGGAGAAGAACAGGACTGCCTTCTTGTACAAGAGGTCGACCCAAAACACAGATGGTGGCAAAGATGAGACAGAAATAAGAGGTTATATTAAAAAAATGTTCATGGATCATCCTGCTATCAAAAAGCTTGTTTGATACACACCAGAAGAAAAAGATGAAGAAAAACCTAGAAGGCAGCAAATAGCATCCAAAACAAACCCTTCACCTTTCATCCCACTCTTCCTCTGCTCTATTTACACTCTACATCTTCATGGTTGACTCAGTGTTAAACACTGCAGCCTCACAGCAGGAATGTTCTGGCTTCCAACCAGCGGGGGGCTTTCTGTCTGCAGTACTTATGTGTTTGCATGTGGCTGTGTGTTTACTGACAGTCATGATCGCTCATATGATTGTGTAGGCTTCCTGTGGTGAAACTTCCTCCCACAGCCGGACATGTTGGTCAGGTGAAACTGTACACAGTGACTCTAAACAACCCGTAGCTGTGAAGCCTGTCCAGACTTTTTTCTCTTCTGCTAAATATTGTTTAGATTATACAGAAACAGCACAGATATAAAATGTCTGATACTGTTTGTTATGAAAAAGGATATTTTTGTGATGGAGATGGACACCTATAATTTTATTTTTGTCTGAATAGTTATCTTTTTGAAGTTTTTTCCCTCTCTCTTAGGAACTTTGGTAATTGATTTAAAAATGTTGGATGAGCTTTCTGTCAAGGAACGTCTGAGACTGAATGTGATCATTGTATTAATTTGATACTTCATAAAACTAGTTTAAATTTTAATTTGATATTGTTGATTACTGTGATTTCACCGGTGCCTCCCTCTGATTCTTTCCTTTCTTTTACTTTAAAAAAAATGTTCTAGCAGAAAGTGACTAAAGACAACAAACCCAAAGTTACATATTGGTAAGTTGTGTGTATTTGTCAACTCACCTTCAAACAAATCTTCAATTAAGAACTGAGATTTGTAGTAGTTTAATCAGGCTTCCGCATTGTTTCCTAACTATTAACAATTCTCTGGGTCTAACCTGGAGAAAGCTAACATGGCCTTTATATCCACCCACTATGATTGCAGCAACTCATTACTCTCAGACTTCCTCCTGATGCAAGGGTCTTTCCGTATGGAAAATAGGGGACACTATTACTCACATCCTCACCTCTCTGTGCTGACTCTCTATTAGCTAAAATAATTGAAAGTCTGGACTTTCAATTATTTTAGCTGTGTTAGTCTTTAGCTTAGTGTTTGTCTGAAAAGCAGTTCATTATCCTCCTCCTCCTGCTCACATTTCAGAACTACTGTCCCCTTATCACACTCTTAGATAGTTGGGATTGTCTGACCAAAGACTGCTGTCTGTCCTGAGATCCAGGACTACAGGCTATGGCAACAGGGCTGTCTCAACAGCTGCCTCAAAACTAAGAAATTTCCCTTCTCCTGCCATACTTCTCACTCTATTGATAGATAGCCTATTCTTTCAAGCTTCACCATAAAATTATGGCCTTTTACTACATTAGGTTTGATTTCCCTTTTATTTTTCTGTTCTGTAGAGCACTTTGGATCAGCCCTGTTGAATTTAAAGTGTTATTTAAATAGAGATGAACAGCGGGATTTTAAGTTTTCCACAATAAACACATATTTGTCACTGGGTGTCTTTTATTCTTCCACTCCACTCACATCTGTGTTATTTAAAAGGTTAAACTGCAGGGTTTTCTTTAAAAGCTGCTTTTTGTCCATGGATCAAAATACAGCATGTAGTATGAGGGCATTTTGAACAAACTGAGCGTTCAAGGTTTTCAGAGTGAAGTTTATTATAAGATACAGTGTAAGCCTACAATGACTAATCACCAAAAAGACATATGTTGACATAAAGCAATCTCAAATGTGTCAGGTGTTTTTATGTTTCTTAGAATGATTGATAGCTCAAGTCAGTGTGAAACAGATGGAAAGACCTTGCAGTAAAAGATCAATCTTCAAAATCGATCAGAGAGAAAGGTTCCTTTTGTTTTTCCAGAGAAAATCCAGAGTTTACAGATAATCCTCTTACTTAAAAATCTCAGATATACATTAGATCTTGTCACATGAGTATTTAACATGTGCATCATTTCTAACTGTAAAAACATAGGTTTTATCAACACTTTGAAATTGATTTTCTTTTTATAAAGCATTACCATTCAGACTACTCTTATAGCAACATTTTCATCTGTTACAAGGACCAGGATGCTCTACAAAAGACATGTTCAATGTACATTTTTGTGGATCTATTCTTATCAACATTGTGAAAAACTGATATTTATGTAAATGTAATCATCCAAAATATTTTTGAGTTAAAACGGAACAAAATGTTGATTTGAAGACATACGTGAAACAGAACAGGATAGACACACCGGTACAATTTATAAATGAATAATCATCAGAGAATAACAACACAGTTTCTTTTCTGCGGATGGTGAAATTTTGGTTTATCTTTCCTTCTCAACATCCTACAAGACAAAAGACATAAATGTATTGTCATTCAATATCAGGGAAACTTATATTTCACATCGACTTAATGTTGATGCACTTACCATACTGTACTAACAGCAGCCATTAATATAACAACTCCAGCAAGTAGCACAGTTGCAAAAGTATACAGTAGATAATCTGAAAATACAAAATATTCAACATGTTAAAAACTCCTCTAAATGTATAAAACCGTATAGATATCCATCCATCTCTCCAACAGTATATAGCCAATAATCTGTGAGGGGCATTAAGTAATTCACAACACAGTCAGTATAAAATGCTACATTTGAAATGGACATTTACCGTGTGACCATGTGTGACTTTGCTCAGATTCGTTGATTTCAGGAGGTTTAGAAGGACTACTGCTGCTTTTCCAATATGTCACTGAAATACACATAAAAATGCATTCAAATGTTTCCAATAAACACATTTAATTATGTCTTGTAAATAAAAATCCTACTCACTGAAGTGTGATCTGTTATGAAAGACATCATGAATCATGTTGCACGTCAGTAGATCATTATTGTGTACTCCTTTGCATGTACAAGGATAGTGAAGGGCGGTGCCTAAAGTGGACAAGAAGGCCATTTTACATTCAGAATCTGCACCAAGGATCAGGGCCGGATCCATCTGGGTGAAACAATCCTCATTATAGAGGTCACTGTCGCTGCATTGTGCTTCTTCAGAGCTCCAGCATTTGGTTCGGAAAGTTTTTAACAGGTCTCTGGCAAGTCAGACAAAACATTGTTTAAGGTGCAGTCACTGGGTGCTTTGCTTTATGGGTGTTCAGAGAAAAATGCAGACACAGCACATTCATCATTGTGGATAGACTATTGTTTTAATGATACTTCCTTATCAAACCTTGCATGGTAGCTCGCTGCCATTGTGGCAAGAGAATGGGTGAATGAGAAGCCAATTGACAAGCACTTTGGATAAAAGTACTATATACATGTAGCCATATACCAGGTTCCCTCCCAACGCTTCAGCAATAACTGGCTTGGTATTTCTCCTATAACTGATTATCATCACAGAGTACAGTCTAGACCTGCTCTTTTATGAAAAGTGCTCAGAAATAACTGTTGTTGTGATTTGGCACTATATAAATAAAACTGAATTGAATTGAATTGAACTTATACTTGCCACACTAGCTGTCAGCTCATCACCTTGGTACAGACTTTATTGACTTTATTGAGTGATGGATTGCCATGAAATTCTGTACAGACATTGGTGATTCCCAGATAATATACCCTAATGACTGGTGATCCCGAGACTTTTACTCTATTTTGTTGGTATGTGTTTATGAATGAAATATCTTCACAAGTATTGGATGGATTTCCATGAAATTTGGTACAGACATAACTGTGGTGAACCCTAACATTTCAAGTGCCATCATCAAGTCAACACTTTTTTCAGTACTTTGGCCAGATACCTGCAAAGACATACAGCCTTAGTCTTGATTTAAATAACAAAATAGCAACATACCTGCAGTTACTGTCCTCAACACATTGGTCAACTGTATCCTGGCAGATCCAGGTCTGGTCTCCACATGTGCCACTGTGCAGAGCCGTTTTCATATGCAGACAGTTCTGATCCGAAGCCTCACACTCACACATGAGTAGCATCTCTGCAACATTGTGGGGCATGCTGCCGTAGAACTGCTGAGTTACTTGCTGACATCGGTCAAGGTCGCACTGGTCTGTCATACATGCTTGAGCAACAGGTGCTAGGTACCTGTTGCAAACTGCATCACGGAGACAAACTTCCATTTGGTCAAAGCAGGATCCAGCACCATCGTACACTGCAAAAAGAAATGTAGTGAGTGAGTTTTAAGATCGCAGAAACATCCCTTTTAAACTCATTGAATTCAGGACACCATTTTATCTTCTTGTTATATTTAAGTTGAGGTTAAACCTTAAGTAATTACCATAGCCTATCAAACCGCTTGACTGCCAGTCCATCACTGTGCTCTTCTTCTGCTGAGCTGCTGTGAAAACACACGGAAACACGATTCTCCAACAAATTCTCATTAAAGCGAGTCTGTTATTCACGACACTCATTCTGTAGCACAATAGTGTTCGTTCATACAGTACATCCGATCGCCTTTGGTAAACACAAATGTAATTTCACCTATAAATGCTTATCTCAGAGACTACTGAGAATACTGCACCTGGTGTTCGGTGGCATTGTGTGGCCAGTGCTTGTATGGAGTCACAGAACTCCTCCTCCCAGGCACACACACACCCTTGCAGAGAGGGAAATTGGTCCAGTATGGTCTGGATGGTCATGTTACAGACCTCTGAGCCTTTTATTTTGCACCCTTCATCTTGAATAACACAAACACAAGAGAGGCAGAAAAACAGGATTTTCCATTAGCAAGCAAGGTGCTGTTTGTGCAACAGGTGCTTCCCATGTGCCTGCTGCTCTGACTGTTGCTCTTGCTGATTATATGCACTTATAGGCTATGCAGACAACATAAGGTTCACTATAGTTCATGATACAGGGTTTTAATGACGAAGCTGACATACGTTTTAAAGGCAGTATAGGACCTTTTTATTATTACTTATTTATTTATTTATATAAACTTTGCTCCAGGATATTGCCTCTGTTATTACATTTAAGCTATACTCCTACAAGTGCAATTCAATTACCTAGCGTCACGTCCTTAGCCTGCTGAGGAAATGCAATCATTACTTTTATAATGCCGCTAGAAAACATAAGGATAACACCATGTTCCTATCCCCCACAGCAGAAATGGTAAATTGGTTTTTACCCTCACAGATGCCGCCATAAAATGCCTGTTCACTCTTGCATAAATTTGACATGCAGGGATCCACAGACACCAAACAGCCAGAAGGTGGAGGGGGCATGGTGATGCTGAATATATGAGGAATAACAACCCCTGAAATACAAGTAGATAAATATACACATTTATGTTTTATTTATTTATGTGAATGTATTACATTATATTTACATCACTATTTGTCTTAAGTTTTTATAGAAATGTCAGGTTCAATACAGGTATTTATGCATTTTCAACATCACAGATTGTCGACCCATTATTGCTGACTGTACAATACATGCATTACAGACAAGACTTAGTTTTAGCTTCCTGACAACACACGGCAACCTTAAGATGATGTTTTACTGTCAAAAGTAATTTATTCTACAGTAAAGGAACAGTTGTCTTAGACTCACCCAGTATGACTGCCGCTTCCAGACGTATCAGCTCCATGACAGCTGTCATTGGACAACTAAAGCTCTCATGCACCTTGTGGTGTCAATACTTAAGCTGGGACACACCACCAACAGGATGTAACACATTTACTGGAGGCTGGACTGTGCACAGTGTAATGAAATGACACATGCAATTTGAGAACAAAACAGACCTTCAAGAGTTACAGAAACAAATATTTTGTTCTGATATAGTCATAGCTAGCGTGAATGGGTGACTTTTGGGGGAATGCATCCGAGGGTGTTTTTATAATCTCGGAGGGTATCACTATTTTCTTTAGGAATGAACACCACATTTAATTGTTGATGACTTGAGAGTTTGGGATAGAAATGTTTTTGCTGTGGAATATATTTTCAGGTGTGATGGGAAAATCCCAAAATACTTAAGTTAATAATGAAGTGGCTATTATCAACATTTTTATAGTAACAATGGATCATATGACAACTTCAATGCGAAAGCGGTCGCTCGCAATGACCAACCAACAGTTATCACCAAATTCTGCAGTTGCCCTCAGCTGTAATGAAGGTTGTTATCGTTGTCAAAGACTAATGAAATAATGAACACTATGTATAACATTTTTTTGACACTTTAGAAAACTGGGCCTATATAAGCCTAGTATTTTGGGCGGATGTGAAATGAAATCTTCCAATTTCTGAGCTGTGCCAGTTTTTAGTCCACGTCCCTTGCTTGGCATCACGCCAGCAAAAGTACAGACACATTGGCCCATATCACAAAAAAAGACTAAAACTAACATTGAAACTAATAAAAAAATAAACATTTTCAAAAAATAAAAACCAAACTAAACTAGCAAACCCACTTTAAAAACCAATTAAAACTAAACTGCAATTCAAAACAAAGAGTCAAATGGAATACTTATCTGAAAAGCAAATCTAGGATGCCTGAGAGTTTCCCTTTGTATAAACAAATAAATATTTCCACCATAAACTGATGGAGAAAAAGCAGACATTTTCACCAGAATGCAGGATGTGTCTTTAAGTCTTTAATGCTCAAAACAAAAAACAGTCTCTGGGTTGACACACATTTTCTTGAGGGAACATTCCCAGAAAACAGGTTAGATCTGGTCTCCAAATTGAGGCTCACATATCACATATCAGCAACTACTGAGTCAAAAAGGAGCAAGCGTACAGGTTACTTTTGCCCACAAGTGACAGAAATCAGACTGCCCTGTTGAGCACCATGTCATTGTGAGATCAGTGTTTGTCTCCTTGTTTCTTTCACATTACTGTTGCCTTTACCTGAATGATTTTTCCATTCTATTGATTAGCTTGAGATTTCCACATCATTTTTGCGTGTTCATTTTCTGTCACAAAGGCATTATCTATACTGCTGATTACAATGATGATCAGTAGTTGTTTTGTGTTTATTTGTGTCTGTTATGCTACTTTGCGTTCACTTTCTTTATCAGTGAGTGTTTGATGTGCTGTGTTTGTGGATCTATTCTATGACAACAAGTTGCTATGATTCCCATGTGAACAGGGCCCCATTTCAGAAGCGGGATTAGAGAAAATTCTGAATATGTTAAGCCTGAGATGAGGGAAACTCTGGGTTTTCTTTTTCAGAGAGCGAGATCAGATAATCTCTAGATCAGTAACTCCGGCAACTGATGCTGTGAACTTAACCTCCTCGGGAGGAGGTTAAGTTCACAGGATAAATTGGAAAACCGTCAGTTTCTCTCTGACTCCTCCCCTCCTGCGGAGCCTGAGGCGGCTGTCTGACACACCGTTTCATTTCCTCATTCATTCTGTCGATGTCAAAGCACAAATCTGAAAGCATTTGCATCTTTAAAAACTTGAAGATCCCAGTTAGATAGCTATTAGTTTTTTCCCCCACACATGATCTTGAAGATGACCGCTTTAATGATCAATCTGTCGTCGACAGAGGACAGATCTCCACACCATCGTGGATTTATCCTCAGCGCAGAATAAAATGTGTCCGGTAGGCTATAACGCTGTGACTGTGTGGACAGTTGCACTGAAAACACTTAGGCCTACTGTGGGCTACATTACTGCAGTAATCACTTTTAATATGTAACCTATAAAACTGATCAATGAACAGGAGCCTAATTTTTCATATTGTAGGCTAGTCGCACTGATTGGAACATTCCTATCATAGACAGGTGGATTGCCCTAAAGTGGGACACTGCCTAATGTGGGACACTTATGGTCCAGTGAAACTATTGGTTAGCCAAAGCTATGGTGTCATGTGATAAAAATCACATAACTTCTCAAATGTCCAGTCACATATGAGGGTGGAGCAATCATCAAACAGGAGGCACCTTGTGTAAAGACCACCCAATTGTCAGTGACAGAGTTTTGACAAACTTGATATTAAGTATAAGGTCAATTTAAATAAAACAACCCTGCTAGTTTTTGGCCTATTGTGCTTATAAAATGTTTGTCCATCAAAAAACAATGTAACTTTGCATGTTTAAACTATATATTTTATATTATTATCAAATTTTCAAGTGTCCCACTTTAGGAAATGTGGTTTTCGAAATGTGTGACAGTACAAAAAAGTGTAGTGGGGCATGGTTTGGTGGGACAAAAATGTTTTTTTACAGGGTTTAAGTGGTTAGAATGCTGTACTACATGTTTAAGGTCATGGAAAATTGTTATTCTTTGGGGGATGGTAGTTTAAAGGCTTTTTGTGTGTGTGCAAAGGGAGTAGACTTCTTAAAATGAAAAAAAACAGCTCTTAATTTAAAAACCAATAAAGCCAATACACTTGATTTTATGCATCTAATGATTAATTCATTTAAATGCATTTCAAATCACAGTGGCAAAGCTGAGAAAGACACAGAGATTTTCAGATGCAGAGCGAGAGACAGAATCAGGAAAAGGATGAGAGAAAAGGCAGGATAAAAGGCATTGTTTGTGTTTGTTATGAAGTAAAATGAACTAGAGTCAGGAATTCTGTGCATTTAACTCTTTTCTATCTGCATAACATAACACAACCCTGTGTCAACAGTTGCTTAATGTCTGTCATTTCCTTTAGGAATGTGTTATCTCTATTTTCTCTTTTGATTTGATTAGGACACATCCTGAGGTTTTTAAAATGGTATTGGGTGTTGATTTAATACATTGGCTTTACATCGCAATATGCCACAGAAGTCTGAAAAACAAAAAATGTCCCACATTAGGGCAATACACCCTACTGGAGATAGTGTGACTATTTCTGAGTGAGGATGACTGTTTAAATGTGAGTTTTTCATTATTACCTGCTGATAGACAACATTAATAAAATACTATATGAGCAAGATTTTATTAACGTAAAACAGACGTCTAAAACTTTATTCTGATTAGCTGTTCTGGAACTGAAAATTCAGAGTTCCCACCTCAGGCTCAATCAACCCAGAGCTCAGGGATAAGCTCAGAGTTTGTTAAGCCTGCTTTCTGAAACAGGGTGCAGTAATTGGTTGATTGCACTCCATCAATCTGCCTTGTTGACTAAGGGATTTGCCCTGATGAAAAAAGGTCTCCTGACAGAAAGGCACGAAATGGTATGCTGCAGCTTATTGTTTTTGTGTCTAATGTCTGTCAGCACAGACATCATGTGCTACAATAACTGATGACTCAGCATCTGAGGTGTAGTGTTCAAATAAATAAATAAATTGTGCGTGGGTACCAGGGACGTGCACAGGAATTTTGAAGGGCAGTTGCTCTGACCTGAAAAAAGGCACTAAACACAGTATCCAAAATGTATTAACAATATAAATGTCACCAAAATACATATGAGAAAAAGAGTTCCTTATATTATTGTTTATTGTTTTTTTTTAATCATTATTATTTTTTATTTTTTTTCCTTTTTTTTTAATTTGAAAATAAATAATCTAGATTGAATTGACAGATGGGGAAAACTCGCTTCTAATAAAATATTAAATAAAAAAACGCTTAGATTTCGGAAAAAAATACAATCCTTTTTTAACCTTTTTGCTTCCCGTACATTCAGTTGCGCTTCTAGCTCGTATTCACTTCTGTTGGTACGTATCACGTATGGTAACTGGGCAAAACTACGCATGATTTGTTGTAGTATGATTGCATAAAGGAAGGAAACAGGAATTCCGGTAGGGAACAGAATCGACTGACGTGCAGGCAGCGCTGCAGCAGTGCAGCCACTTAAACAGAGTTTGCCCTTCCCCTACTGACTTTCACTTTCGGTGCCCGAATGGAAGTGAATGAGGCTTTGCGATCGCGATTATTTTTTTATTTTATTTTTTTTTCTCGGAAGGGCGAGTCGGAAGGGCAACTTGAGTCAGGAAAGGCAAACGGGCAGTTGCCCGGGCAACCAGAGCAACCCCCCTGTGCACGTCCCTGGTGGGTACCTTTGTTTCAGATTCATGTTTGAATCTTGAAGCCCTTTCCCAGCTTTGAGTTTGCTCTTACTTTAGCTTATTAGCTGCCATTATTAGCTGCAATTGGTTATTATGTGTTTTTAGATTAACAATATAAGCAGATCATTTGCTGATTAAATATAAGCAGAAATACAGACAGGGTTAGGGAATAAACTGACAACTAATTATTGCACTTTGAAGCTCACACATCAAGTCAAGAGACTAAATAATATTCAGAAGGTCAAGCAGAGGACACATGATGACATGACTGGGTGGACGTGTTAGTTGACCCTGGATTCACATCAAAAAGTGTGTTTCCAAATAAAGTTTTTTTATTGAACATTACCAAAACATGTCTTAATTACAGTTGAAGGTTTGCATGCCGCTTCACTGGCTGATAAATGTTCTGCAGCCATCCATTGTGTGAAATTTGGCAAAATCTTACTACAAAAATTAAAAACTGCATGCTGGTCATGCTTTAAAAAACAAAAACAGCAACATCAGTGAGACAAATGATCTAACTGTGTGTTACTTAATTCGGTAAACAAGGACTATCAACATTTTGAATAAAGAAACCCAGAAACTGAAACAGCATTTCCTAATTCTGTTTGATTTGTAATTAGCTTCTTATTGAACTGCATTGAAGCTAATCATACCATAGTGTCAATAATTAGCAACCATGAGTACACTTAATTAAATTAGCTTTTATCTACAAATTCAAACACATTAACCAAGTAATTATTTTTAGAGATACACATTAAAACATATCAAAGCATATGCTAACTTTCAGAAACAGAAAAATAAAAAACAGAGACACAAAGAGATTCCAATCACAAGAAGGCAAAATCACTAAAATCACACCAGAAAGCACTGACAAAGGGCTAAAGTTACATTAAAATCCTCATTAAATACAGAACCAAATACTGCAGCTTTAAACGTTAACAGGAGAGGGGGATTTTTTATCTGTTGCAGTCGGGGCAACAATAGAGAGACCTGTGGTGCATTGCTGTTTGCCACAGTGTCTACAAAATATAACCACTGTGGGGCACAAATCTCAGATATTTTCTGAATATACAGGTGGCTTTAAGGTTAGCATGTTGTTGTAGCAGTATGCTGTACATGAGAAGACAAAAAGTGATATAACGCGAATAAGAGATATGCTAAGCTAAGCTATGCTTTGATATGCTAAGATCTCACATTCAAGTCAAGAATCAGAGCAATCCTGTCAAAAAGTCAAGCATATGACCACAGTTGCGCTGTGAATGATGCTAATGTGGGAATAAATTTTAGTCATAGTTTAAAGGATTATAAAAATCAATCAGCAAAAAAACTACCAACAGTTTCAAATCTACCACCATCCAAAAATGCCCCAAATGAAACATTTCTGGCAGAGCTTGACAAGAAGACTTTTGACCAATTACAATCTCACTGCCCACAAGTCACTGAACAGAAATCAAGTGGCCCTGTTCCCCGTCAGTATGACATTGTTTGTCTTCTTGGTTTTGCACATTATTGTTGCCTTTTGCTAATTGTTTTTCTTGATTTGTTTGATTGTCTTGATTTGACAAGAGATTTCCACATCATTTTTGCTTATTCGTTTCATATCAGAGTACTTTCACACATTTACAATCATGATTAATAATTTTTTTAATGTCTTTTATGTTAGTTTGAATGCACTTGCTTTTTTCAGTGAGTATTTGATATTTGTGGATCTAGAGATTCTACGATGACAAGTTGCATCTGTGAACAGGTGCAGTAGAATTGACTGATTGCACGCCACGCTCTGGAGAACTATTCAGTATGTCTCATGTGGTGGAGTTTCACTGTCTGTCCTAAAGTAATAATGATTATAAAAGAGAAGCAGACTATATATGCCCATATAGTCCCTGGACCAGCAGAATGAATACTAATGGGGAGAGTGAGAGACGGTGCTTGTGTCTGCCTCAGTATCAGGATTGGGATGCCCCTGATCAAGGCCTTTTACAGTTGGGGGAACAACTCAGTGGCAGGTCAGACTTGTACTGGGCAGCTTCCAGGTGGAAATTTGTGTAACTGTGTGAGGGTGATCAGGGCTTTGTCTCAAATGTGCCATCACACTACAGGTGCTGGTCATATAATTAGAATATCATCAAAAAGTTGATTTATTTCAGTAATTCCATTCAAAAAGTGAAACCTGTATAATGTATACATTCATTCCACACAGACTGATATATTTCAAGTGTTCATTCCTTTTAATTTTGATGATTATAACTGACAACTAATGAAAAATCAGTATCTCAGAAAATTAGAATATTGTGAAAAGGTTCAATATTGAAGACACCTGGTGCCACACTCTAATCAGCTAATTAACTCAAAATACCTGCAAAGGCATTTAAATGGTCTCTCAGTCTAGTTCTGTAGGCTACACAATCATGGGGAAGACTGCTGACTTGACAGCTGTCCATAAGACGACCATTGACACCTTGCACAAGGAGGGCAAGACACAAAAGGTCATTGCTACAGAGGCTGGCTGTTCACAGAGCTCTGTGTCCAAGCACATTAATAGAGAGGTGAAGGGAAAGAAAAGATGTGGTAGAAAAAAGTGTACAAGCAATACGGATAACCGCACCCTGGAGAGGATTGTGAAACAAAACCCATTCAAAAATGTGAGGGAGATTCACAAAGAGTGGACTGCAGCTGGAGTCAGTGCTTCAAGGACCACCACGTATGCAAGACATGGGTTTCAGCTGTCACATTCCTTGTGTCAAGCCACTCTTGAACAAGACACAGCGTCAGAAGCGTCTCGCCTGGACTAAAGACAAAAAAGGACTGGACTGCTGCTGAGAGGTCCAAAGTTATGTTCTCTGATGAAAGTAAATTTCCTTTGGAAATCAAGGTCCCAGAGTCTGGAGGAAGAGAGGAGAGGCACAGAATCCACGCTGCTTGAAGTCCAGTGTAAAGTTTCCACAGTCAGTGATGGTTTGGGGTGCCATGTCATCTGCTGGTGTTGGTCCACTGTGTTTTCTGAGGTCCAAGGTCAACGCAGCCATCTACCAGGAAGTTTTAGAGCTCTTCATGCTTCCTGCTGCTGACCAACTTTATGGAGATGCAGATTTCATTTTCCAACAGGACTTGGCACCTGCACACAGTGCCAAAGCTACCAGTACCTGGTTTAAGGACCATGGTATCCCTGTTCTTAATTGCCCCATCAAACTCGCCTGACCTTAACCCTGTAGAAAATCTATGGGGTATTGTGAAGAGAAAGATGCGATACGCCAGACCCAACAATGCAGAAGAGCTGAAGGCCACTATCAGAGCAACCTGGGCTCTCATAACACCTGAGCAGTGCCACAGACTGACTGACTCCATGCCACGCCACATTGCTGCAGTAATTCAGGCAAAAGGGGCCCATACTTTTCATGTTCATACTTTTCAGTTGGCCAACATTTCCAAAAATCCTTTTTTTGTATTGGTCTTAAGTAATATTCTAATTTTTGGAGATACTGAATTTGGGATTTTCATTAGTTCTCAGTTTTAATCATCACAATTAAATTAAATAAACATTTTAAATATATCAGTCTGTGTGTAATGAATGAATACAATATCCAAGTTTCACTTTTTAAATGGAATTACTGAAATTAATTTTAATTATATGACCAGCACCTGTATGTGTCAATAGTGCAATTTCCTTACTGGGATCACGGTATGCCAAATCAAGGGTGCCTGTTTACAATAGTTATAGTGCAGCAAAACAAACAACGTGTGCTGTAAATGAATTGCTGCTCACACTCAAGCATTTACTCTCAGCCAAAAGGAAGAGAGCCAGACACACGTTTGTGTGTGTGTGTGCCACAGCATATTTACAGGCATATTAGCCTTAATTAAGCTGCGAGGAGAAATTAATTTGTTTTTCTATGATGGTCATGAAGCCAAACAAAACAATGTTTAAGCATTACCACTTGTTGAGACAACAATTGTTTTACAGTCAAAATAAAGACTGGATTAAAGTATACACTTGAGAGTCCTCATTCCATTTTCTGTTGTTTATGCATTTATTAAATTTATTTTTTGTAAAAAATCTAATCAAAATAAATCATTCATTTACAGGACTCATTACCATTGTGTTCATTAAGTGGAATGATTGAAAGGTTGGGCCTGGAGAATTATCTTTTCCAGCAGGACAATGTCCCCCTGCGCTCTGAAGCTGTCAGTAAAGGTGACTGACAGAAGCACTTCATTGTATTTCAAAATGGTTTAATGGATTAAAATAGAATTAATAAATTTTGCTTTGGTGCAATACATAGTAGGCAAGTGTGTAGCTACAATATAAAATATTTGCTTTGCCGATATTGTTCAATCAAAACTCAGTGTATGTCCAGTGAAAGAAAGCCGTTTCATAACGAAGTCCACCAGGACACATTCATGCAGGAACTACAAATCAAGGAGACAAACTACAAGCCTGAGCAGTTAAAAGACTTATTGTCTATAGCACCTGCTGTATTATTGTTATAAAAACCCATAAAACCTACAAATATATAAACATTAATAAACAAATCCTGCTACTGAACTAAAAATAAATGTATGCCGTAGGGATGCACCAATCAACTGGCTGAGGACAGTATGGGCCGGTGATGTCAAATGTCCGATTTTCTGCCGGTCACACTAAATGTTACACACGTGCTGTGCTGGATGGTGTCTGAGTAAAAAAGTAATTTGGACAATTAAGTAGAATTAAAATGGTGAAATTATACTATAGAAATACTAGAAATAGGGTAATGTATTCTTTCAAATATTTTCAAATAAAAAATACATATATACCCCCCACCACTACATTTACATTATCCTTTTGTGGGAAACACTGAGCCTTGTTATAACCTACTGCAGTTTCTTTTCAGTTAGATTTTATTCATACTAAAAACTCTGTCCAGCAGCCTAACCTGAATTACTTTTGTGTTTGACTGAGAGAAGCTCCTGTAACCTGCTGCGGAATGGACCCCAGTCAGAAAAGCGGTTGCTTATGGGGATCCTAATAAAGAGAATTTTCCAGTAAAGAAAAGTTACAAAAATGTTTGTGTGTTCTGTCATTTATAGTTCTTAGAGAGAATGAAAATTGGAATCGGCCAAAATTGGAATCAGCAGGTTCATCTCCAGTATGCAGAGCAGTCAACATAGTACATTTACAATACAATACGTCCAATTAAAACTCACTTAACCTTGTATATAGTACATATGGTATGCGTTAATAAATACTAAACATTCAAAAGGTGTCCTTTAATAATAAATAGACAGTTTCTGTGCATTTGAGTGGAGGCCATGTCCTACTGTGTTCCTGATTGTGTTAATGTGAGAAGGTCTTCAGAAAACAGTGCCCAGATTGCTAAAGCTCTTAACTTCCATAAAGTGTCCTCGTGAAACTAAGCAAACATAAAACAAAAATAATGTCTACCTTAACGATGAGTGTGTCCTCTGATGCTTGAATTGGTCAGAAAAACTCCCCACCTGGATTATAAAACTACACTATCTGATCTGATATGCGTGACACATTGTCCATGTTGCTAACTTGAGTTGACAGGGATTTCCGTCTGTCTGTGCTTGGTCTGGTCCGTGTCCTCTGTGTGTGATTTTGGCCTTTGCCATAACAATGGCAAGAAAAGGCTGTTTTGAACTCCCCACGGAACTTCCCTGGAATAAGAGAAATATGAAATACACTCAGAAACCATTACGTTTGAACACTTTGCATCACAAACTGCATTTTTCAGTTTCATGCGCATTATTAAGTACACATTTTGTTTAGAAAATTTGATTGACTATGGATTTATTATAAATACATCTTTTTTTTTTTTTAAGCACATGATGACTAACATCTGAGAAGCATGTGTTATTATCAAGGCCATCAACGGCATCTACAATCTGTAAATTCATGTAAGACATTTTGTAATACATGCAACTTAAAGCAGTGAGACATAGGGTTGTTGTCAAACCGTCCACTAGAGGACAGTAATGAACACACACAACTGGTCTGAGTGGTGAGTTACAAACTTACCACTGAGGAAATTGTAGATGATAGGATTTGCTGCACTGTTGGCATATATGAGCCAATGTGAAAAGGTGAACCATGCATACACTGTCTCTCTGTCATTTGTGCTCCTGAATGTCCCAAAGACTCTGGAAGTAAGGTATGACATTAGGCCCATCAGTTAAAAAATAATTCATGTTTGCATGATTTTGATGCTATACTACAAATCACATTATTATTAAAATAATAAAAACAAGCCACTATTCAGTGCTTAAATACTAAATATACTGTAACAGTCATTATTAAACATGAAATTTCCAAGGTGAGCTCCTGACGAAAAAAGCAATGCTAGATGTGCGTAAACTGATCCCTCTGCATTTGAATGGCTTTTGATAATTTAGAGCTTGAGCAATTATTACCTTTTCATCACATTGAGCACGCTGATTGGTAGGTAGCACAGGGCAAAAACAAAGAGCACTACAATTAGCATGCGAGCTGTCTTGCGCCGGGCCCGGATCTGTTTGATCTCAGCACAAACTGTGCTGGTCCTGACCCTCATGGACTCTCCCAGCCCTGGAGTGGGACCTGAACACTGCATGGACCTCCACTTCCTCTGCAACACTGATGTGTTTCCGGGAATCTGTTGATTAAAAATATGTGTATATCACACACTTTAAAACTGCCAAAGAAAGAGCAGTTCACTGTTTAATCATGGCATTGTAAAAGCTGATGTATTGCAACATAAAGTGCAGGAGTACACACCTGTTGACACCATAGCTTGTGACATATCTGGATATACGCCAGGACCATGAGACATAATGGTGCAAAGTATGTGACAATGAAGAAACAGCTGTGATACACTTTTGGGTAGATCTCAGCTGTGGAAAGAATAAAAACACATAATCATAATTTGACTTAAAACCATCTGGATAGTAACCATTAGCCCATTCGTTACTGTTGCTTTCTCTGTCAAACATTCCATCCTGACACTGCACATTTACAATGATAACATGGCTGTTTTTTCACTCAAAATACTTTTTTCTAACAATGGGTTTTTGACTTCAGAGAAGTAAACAAAAGCAGGCTTGGCTGACAACCATGGATTTTGTTGGCAGAAATTACAACTGTCGCTACCAGATTATCAGCTGTGGCTAGCTAGGTAAACTAATTTTAACGCTAGTATATTGTGCGTTGGTTGAAAACTCAGTCTCTATCTCATATATTAAAATATTTTTAAAGCTAATTTGTCTTAAAACAATAATCTTGTAAACGGGTCTTAAATATTCACATGATGACTACATGATAATACTAAAGGATTGAGACTAAAGCTACATTTCCCAGGCAGAGAGGTCAGCATCCTCACCAGCTGATCCAGACGGAGCAGTGCTTCTTTGTGTTTTGGTAAAGCTAGTTAGTCTTAGTATTCTTTAAAGTAGAATAAAAATATAATGTTATTCATTATAAGGTTGTTATAGGACAACATACACGGCCAAGCAAAACAGTGGTTAGATTTAAACTTTTTGTACAAAAGAAAATTATTTGAGGATTGGAAATCCCCATAACTTTGTAACGCTATCTTACACGAGTTTGGCTGGGGCAGCTTGGATGTAAACATCCCCACAACAAATAAAATTCAGGACAGACCTGCCACTGTTTCTCTCAACTGTGATACAGAAACATTCACTCCCATGCAGTGGGTTTTCCAGTCAGTCCTGAACAGAAAATTTTCTAATGTAACAGTTGTTATACAGAGTTCTGCCTGCCCGCCAAGAACTACATGCCCCTCCCAGTAGCATGCTCAGATGGACTGATAACAATCAAAGCAGATGAAACAGTGACAGTGTAATGACTTATCAGATAAAGTACTTTTTAAAAATGAAATGGTGGTATTTTTTATCACCAAAAATCCAAAACCAAAAACAACCAAGTTCTGCCTGCCTGCCAAGAACTGCACATCCCTCGCAGGAGCACTCGCAGCTAACGCAAAGTACTGTTTAAAAACAATATAATTCCTTGACAGGTTAATTGATGATGACAAATGATCTGAAGTCTATAGTTTAAGAACGTTTCTAAAGGTGATTTTGATGTGTTTTTAAGCATTTCAGATAGTTATTATAAAATTAGGGTTTTAAAATTAATGTTCAGTGTCAAAGCCAATCTGTCATGTCAAAGTCGATCAAATAAAGTATGTGCTGTTGACACCATTTGATTCCTATCACAGTTTGATTTGAAGTGTTCTTGCTGACTGTTAAGGGGTGAATTCATTAATCGACAGAACTGCTGCAGAGCAATGCATCTCTTATTATTTCAGCTTAGGTCATTATTAAATGTATGAAGTCCGTAAGTAAGGAATGAAGTTGCAGTGCATTATTCGACAAATGTTTTTTTCTGTACCTGCTGAGAATTTCTCACTGTCAAGCCATAACAGCTCAAAATATATTGCCGGTAATATCATTTGATCCCAAAGTGTCTCTAGAGAAATATAAGGCAGAAAAGCATTATTTGGCAGATAAGATTTTAGAGCTGCAGAGAAATGCCTTGTTATTACAGCCAAGATCAATGAAAGATGTATGAAAACAGCCTATAATATGTGCTGAGCCATCTGACTCCTAGGTCTCAAGAGAAAAAGCAGAGGGGAGACTGCAGTATTTGGCAGAGGTGTTTTTCTTTAAACCTGCTGAGAAATACATGTTCTTGTCTCAATCCAGGTAAGTGTCAAATGCATGAAATTCACACGGTTAAGTAAAAGTAGGCCACAATATATACTGTTAAAACCATTTGACTCCAAGTACTCTAGAGGCAGTGAAGCAGTATTCAGTTGCGTTTTATTTTTGTAACCTGGAAAGAAATGCATCACCTTTCCCAGACTTGGGGAATAAATTAAACACAATCAATAATTGACATTAACCAGATAAACATTTCTAAGGGAAAAGCCAACCCATACACAATGTTCTGTTCTGTGCAGTGTACGGCCTTGGCGATGTCTTGATTGTAGTGAGAGTGGAAACACAACTTACCCTTACTGTGTGTAAATTCTGTTTGCTTCTCTTAAAATACTGAATAAGTTCAATATGTCTGACCTGGCCTTGCTAACAGAGAGATACACCTCCAAACTTTCACGGGCTGGAATTATGATGCTTTATCCAGTGTGACACCCCAACCAACCTGTGTTGGTTACCATTGGTTCACAGTGGAGGGTCTTCAGCTGATTACACTGACCTGGGCGCTCCAGGCGCTCTGTCTTTGGAGACATGTACTGTATATCATACATCATCCTCAGAATCAGAAAGAGCTTTATTGCCAAGTACTATTATACACATACGAGAAATTTGCTTTGTGATTAGGTGCTACACCTAGACAAACATACAGCTGACATAAAAGTAGAAATGTATAAATATGCAATAAACAGATGCAAGTTATATAAGAATAATAAAAAACAAAAATAACAGAGAAAAATAATACAACTATGTGAAGGGTTTGTGTTGTGCAGACGTATTGCAGCAGAAGAGGATATTGTGTACATAAATATATAAATTGACAAAATATATTGTTAATGTGGCTAGCTGCAGATGGGAAGAACCTGTTTTTGTGGTGAGACGTTTTGGTCCTGATGGGCCACAGCAGAGTCTGAAACAGTTTCTGCCCTCTCCACTGTCTTTAGAGCGTTGAGGTCCAGGTGGTTCTGGCTGCCCCAGGTCACCAGATGGTCAATCTCCCACCTGTAGGTGGACTCATCCCTACCAGAGATGAGCCCAATGAGGGGGGGTGTAATCTGCAAACTTCAGGAACTTGATGGTCTGGTGAATGGAGGTGCAGCTGTTTGTGTACAGGGAGAAGAGCAGAGGGGAAAGAATGCATCCTTGAGGGGAACCGGTGCTGATGGTCCTGGAATCAGAGACACACATTTTCCCAGCTTCACGTGCTGCGTCCTGTCAGTCAGGAAGTCTGTGATCAAACTGTCAGGCATGCTCAGCTGGGAGAGCTTGTCCTGCAGCAGAGCCAGGATGGTGGTGTAGAAAGCAGAGCTGAAATCCACAAACAGGATCCTGCTGTAGGAGTCAAGGAGTCCAGGAGAACTGCAGGCGCTCAAAAGACTTCATTACCACAGATGTCAGGTTCCTGTGGGCCTTGTTTTTTTGGGGACAAGGATGATGGTGGAGGTTTTTAAGCAGGCTGGCACATGGCATGTCTCCAGTGAGGTGTTATTTGCCAGGCGAGCGTCGTCGATGGATGGGTTTGTAGTTTGTGATCTGTCTGAACCCCTCCGGACAGAAGTGACATCATTTTCAGAGAAGTGGTTCTTTAGTCTCTCTGTCATTTAGCTTCTCGCGCCTATTTGTTAAACCTGTACTTTGAACCTTAAACCTGGCCCTGTCCTCACTGCTAAATGCCTTCTCCTTTTCCAGTCTGATTTATCTGAGTTTAGCTGTGAACCAGGGTTTGTCATTGTTATAAAACTCACCCTGGTCTGTGATGGTACACAGCTGTCCTTGCAGAAGCTGATGTAGGATGTCACAGCATCAGTAAACTCATCCAGATTGGTGGTAGTAGTCCTGAAAACATCTCAGTCAGTGCAGTCCAAACACGCCTGAAGGTCCTCTACAGCTTCATTGGTCCACTGCTTTGTAAACCTGTGATGAGGACATCAGAGTTTTAATTTCTGCCTGTATGCAGGAATCAGGTGGACCATGACATGGTCAGAGTGACCCAGTGTAGTGCAGGGGACGGTGTGATAGGCTCTGCTTACTGTACTGTAGCAGTGATCCAGAATGTTCTCCTCTCTGGTTGGACACTTTACAAATTGCCTGTATAATGGGAGTTCTTGGCTGAGGTTTCCTTTGTTAAAGTCACCAAGAACAATAACAAGGGAAGTGCATGTCTACTCCACACACAGTATCCTGTCAGCAAGCATGCACTGTGCATCGTGCACGTTGGCCTGCGATGGAATGTAAACACCGACCAGAGTGAATGAAAAAAAACTCATGGGGAAAGCAACGGTTTACAGTTAATGATAAAATATTCCAGGTCATGAAAACAGTGCTGCTGAATCACTGTCACGTCGGTACACCAGTCACTGTTGATGTAAAAACAGACACCTCCACCTTTTGTTTTGCAAGAGAGTTCTGTGTTGCGGTCCACTTTGTAGAGTTGGAATCCAGCCAGATGCAGCGCAGATGCCGGTGTCAGTCCACACAGTCATGTCTCCATGAAGCAAAGAACAGAAGTTGAATAAAAGGCTCTGTTTTTCCCCGTCAGTAACGTCTCGGGTTACATATGTAACCCTTGTTCCCCGAGAAGGGGAACGAGACACTGCGTCGGTGACGATACTATGGGAACGCCTCTGGGCGTCGCAGGGCTGAACTATGAATGAAACTACTCCAATCCTATTGGTGTTGCTAGAACGGTAGCGTGTGACGGCGTAACCGGAGGGGTATATAAGCACGCCAGCACACAGGACACATAAGCCTTTTTTTATTCAGCAGGCACTCTGAGTATGTTTTTCTATGAAGCAAGGCACTCCAGGCGGGGTGAGGTGTGGCGGACCGACGCAGTGTCTCGTTCCCCTTCTCGGGGAACAAGGGTTACATACGTAACCCGAGACGTTCCCCTTCGAGATACCCACTTAGGCCGCGCCGAAACCCTGCCTGCCCCCAGCGTGCAGAACCTGACGGCACGACTAGGAGGAGAGCGCACGGGTGCCGGGTGCAGAAGGAAGGTCCAGACTGTACACCGGATGAAAGTGTGAGGGGGTGGCCCAGCCAGCCGCGTCACACAAATCCATGAGTGACGCCCCTGCGTGGAGGGCCCAAGAAGCCGCCATGCCTCTAGTACAGTGCGCCCTTATGGCCATAGGTGAAGGCAAACCCAGCTCACCCCA